ACCCCCATTTCTCTCACCACTTGTTCTGCCAGCCCGAGTGGGAAGCTTAGAGTCACTATAGAGGAGACTACTGTTGTCTGTTGTATTTGTGTGTTTCTTATTGTTCAGAAAAGACTCGGGGGAATTAGCATGGCCAGGTGAGGCACTCCACTTCACAAAGCACACAATCACACCATCTGTTGCCTCTGTCCTGCCCCACAATAGACCCTCTGATCAGATACGCTTCACTATTCTTATGCATTTCCTCAAGGATTGATTTGTCTTTGTTTATAAGACAACTGTTAAATTGTGTTAGAACTGAGTACCGTAATAGTAACCAAATGTATTTTAACAGTAGCACACACATTATTATGTTACACATGCTAGTTTTGTTGCACAATATAGTCTACTTTTTAGCAGTGATTTAAGTGGTCCTATATTGAGAAAAATGACTCCTGTAAGCTTAAAGATCGGTGATACCTCATCAAAAACATACCTGAAGTTACTGATAATTGATTGTATTTAGTGGCATCTGTGTGTCCTGTTTTACCACTTTGCCCTGATGAAGACCATCTTGCTGGTCAAAATGCGTTATGTCCCTTCATGCAATAAAGGACTTTTCATATAATAAGTTAGAGTGCCTTGGGTTTGTACCTTGCCTACTTTTACATTTTCCAGAAGGGGTAACTTTCTGTTTAAAGACTGTTTTAACCCATATAGAGCACTTGCACTGCTATTTTTTTTAAAAACTCTTTTATGACTCAGTGAAGCGCTCTACCTCTTTTCTTCATCTGACATACCTGGAGTTGTGTTTTGTTTCATTCACACATGTTTGAGTAATATTCCTGCATTGTTAAGTCTGTCTTCATCTCCAAAGCTCTGTTCGAACCTTGTGATGTCATGTAGTGGTAGTTTTCAAGTTAACGGCTACCTTTTACCTTTAGTTCAGTAGAGGTTGGAAGTCCCAGGGCTGAAATTATCCAAATGATTCTAGTGAAGTTGTATGGAGTTTAAAAAACACAGTGGGGTACTTCCAGGATTACTGTTTTCTGTCTAACAGAAGAACTCTAAGTCTACAAATGCAGGTTTTGTGAGTTAAACATGTGTGAATGAAACAAAACACAGCTCCAGGTATGTTTGTGATGAGGAAACAACATTCTAACATAGATCAGAAAATAGTGTAATTTGGGACATTTAAGAAACTTTTTTAAAAACATATTTGGTTGTGTGTTTCTATCTGTTGCATAATATTAACATTAGGTACTACATATGGCTTAATTTAAAGGTGCTGTTGAAGGGTATGCCACCTGCCAGATAGTTCCTGGAATGTTCCACAATATGGCATTAAACATGCATTCTTACTGTGAGCAGGGTCTGACCTGTAACATGGCCTGGTGCTGCTTGTCTCCATGAATTTACAGTATATACGTTTAATGACATTCTGTGACTTATTCTGGGTAGTGTAGTGTAACGACATTTCCATGGAAACAAGCAGATGGCCCACCCCGTCACTAGAAAGGTTACATAGTGCATCTTTGATTTTGTTCACATTCACTTAGTTTTATTCCTGCGTCGTTTGTCTCAATCAACTCATATTTGCTTCAGAGGAATTACACTTCTGTAATTTACCCAGTCAACTTGCAAATCAATAAATTTCCCAATCTTTTACGTGACACAGGCTAATCAGAGCAATCAGACACTATTTTTCAACGGTAAAACACAATCTCTGGTACATTATGGTACATTAAAGCCTATCCCCATGGAGTCAAACAATACTGTCTCTCCATGTCTCTTCTGGTTTGAAAACAGCGTGGAGCCATTAAAGGGAATTGCAATGTGTTTGTTAGAAAGACCAGATCAATATATGTGCATCATTTATGAGGACAGCATGTAGGCTGGTAATGATGATGAAGGCCCTGACGCCGGGACTGTTGTGTGGTCATGTACACACACACACACACACACACACACACACACACACACACAACCAAGAGATATGTCCCTCTTTGATGTGATTCTAATTAGTGGGTGACTCATCATACCATCCGCCCTATTCAGGCCTCTGTAGTCGTCACTGGAGTAGCCATGCAGCTTCCACAGTATTGTCCACCATTTAGGTCCGTGCAGTGCTTCTTACACACTCACACACTCCTTCTCTAGACTATTGTCCAGTGTGTTACTTAAAGGTGCACTGTGTAACTTTATGATTGGGGGTCTGTCACCTGCTTTTTTTCTATGGATATGTCATTGCTCTGTCTGGAATTTTCCACAGTACGTCTCAGCTCAGCTCCACCTCTATCTTTTATTCAATTACAGGTGGTTTTAGAGCTCAAAAATGCCTAGAAAAACAGGCGTTCTGACTATGGGGGGGGTTACCTCTTCACAGATCTGACCTGTAACTTGGTCTGGTTTGGTCTTCATGAAGATAGAAAGGTTTAATGCCATACTGTGAAACATTCCACACATAAGAATAACACCTCCATGAAGAAAAACATTTGAAAAGTCACGCAATGCACCTTTAAGTAAAAGTACAGATACAAAGGTAAAAAGTTACTCAAGTAAAAGTAAAAGCATCACGAAAATCATGAAAAATCAGTCAAAGTCAAAATATTAAAGTGCCTATTAAAAATGCATTTTAAGAGTAAAAAGTAAAAGCATTTTGCAGAGATTTTCAGAACAATTAAGGATGAAATGTAATGATTTTGATAAAGAATTTAGCAGATTTTAAATGATTCAATTTATTTCTTAATTTTTCTAGCCACTTTTGTGGAAAGGGAGACTCCGATCATCCAAAATGAAAAGTTAAACTTATAAAACATGTTAATATGTTTTAGGAGAATGCAGCATTTGCAAAACAATAAAAGGTAACATCGAGATCTGAATATGTTTTGTGTGTTAATAGTTAATACCCCGCAGAAATAAAATACCCCCTCTTTAACCATAACAACAAATCTGCAACAAAAAATCTGTATTTCAGCAATATTTGTTTTAGAAGTCCCCAGTCTGTCTTGATTGAATGCTGTGATGTAATCTGAAAACCAGCAATAAGCTTGTTCCCGCCGTCTCAAACCATACATCAGCATGTCAAAAAGAGAATGAAATTGAATGAAAAAGCAATGTAATAAATAATCAGTAGTATTATGCATAACAGGACATGTTGAATATTCAGATGTGAGTCAGCCGACACAATATGGAGTGACTGTGACAGATGGCTCCACTGCACCTCTCACTTTCCACAGACACATGCCACTGCTCAGCTCACACCCTCGAAAAGCTGCTTTAGTGTTTAGACTGCAGCCTACTGTCTGTGTGAAGAAAGCCTTACCCACATCTGTATGCACTGGTACTACAACAAGCCCTGCACATCTGTATACACTTGTACTCATACAACCAGCCCCGTTATAAAATGGTGAATGTTTTTTTGTATTGAGAAGAAACTACTCATTGTCTCTCTGCCAGTGGGACATTTATATATTGAACATGTTTCTGATACAGATTATACAACCTAAGGACTTGAATAAACATGCTGTAAAACATATTGACACAAGTTTAGATCCCGTGCATGGCACCATGACCTGATGTCCAGATTGGAGCTCTTTCACTGATGAACACTTTCTCAATCCTTTGTTGCGATGTTTAATCTGGATTACACTTCCATTTGGGGTTATGTCATCAACAGCTCAGATCTGTGAGGAGCTTGCACGGCCGAGAACTCCAAGAACAAATGATTCACTGATCACTGATTTAATGGCTTCCAAATGCCTGGCAAAACCATGGCACAAACTCCCAATCTGACAATCTGTCAGTGAGATAACTGCCTGATTTACGCTGGCCCAAACTCATCTGATTCCTCTTCCAGAAAAGAAACACAGATCAGGATTATGTTCACACTTGTCCTGGTTTGGCCCTGGTTTGAGCCCAAACCCTGGTGCAGATCTGGTTTGGTTCTGTTCTAATTCTGGTTTGGTCCTAGACTTGTCCAGATTTACTTCCAGGTTTAGTTCTGGGTTTAGTGCCAGTTTAATCCTAATTTGAATACGGTCTATGTGCAAGACTTGGCAATAAAGCACCAAGTCTTCTGACTGTTGATTTTACTTTGACTTGATCAAATTTGTATTATGTGTCACTGGACATTTTAATCAATTTAATGTAACGGCATGGTTCCATGTTAGGGAATGTATGCCGCACAAGTTGAGCTTTGAACTTTTTGATCAAACAATTTTATGATTTACCTACATATTCCATTTGCATTTTTAAAAGGGGACAAAATCTCCACACACATTTCAGTATTTCTTCTATTCCTATATTTTCTGTGCCCTGAGAATAGTTGTGGCACACAGTTTGAGTCCCTCCCAGGAGGTCTCATAATCAGGCATTTGCAGTCTGACAGCTGCCTCTAACATGCACCGCTGAGTGGAACAGGTTTAGAGAGGTATGAAGCCCCCCAAGTGAGAGGGACCACATCAGGGACTTTATTTCCTCTTCTTCCAACTATTTTACATCTGTGCTAGTATGAGTAGAGTAAAATGAGTATTTTAAAACATGTCCTTAATAGTCTACCGTCATTCTTGAACCACCCTTTGGTTCAATAAAACATTTAATATAAACTAATGTAATCGTACCTATGTGTATGCCACATCTGCTGTGTGGGTCCAAACAGGATTTCTCTCATTAGAAATATATTTATGTTATATTATTACGTTATGTTAATAATATTCCATGTTATGAGAAATGAGTGGTACTGCCATGTGCACTTTATGTGAGGTTTGTTTAAAAATTCTACCTTTTCCTTGTTCATCAACCAAGCAAATCAAAGTCATGTGTATTTGCTTTTCATAAAAAACATGAAATCAAATAAAAATTGGGATCAGTCTTATTGCCCAGCCAGCCCTACATCTGACACTACAAACAATTACGTTAATACACCAATAGACTTAAGATAATATTTTGCACGTTACTTTTATTTTTCCCCTGATATCTAAGAGGACTGACTAACTATTTCTCATGTTTTGGTTGGACAGATCAACAAGCAGCAGCTGCAGACTGTGAAAGAGCGCTTCCAGGCGTTCCTCAGCGGAGACACTCAGATTGTGGCCGATGAAGCCTTCATCAACGCAGTGCAGAGTTACTATGAGGTAATCTAACACACACGCACGCATACACACACATACACACACACACCATGGTGCTGATGGCTCTGGAACAAATGGAACATGCAGTCATTATATTTTATGGGTCATTTTCTAGTTGATGTTTCCAGGGAAAATAGCTCAATTAACACAGTGGTAGTCAATGAAAATAATTCCCAGATTGCATGCGGATGTGTTTTCTGCACATGGGACATTAGAACATCAAATGCGAGTTGGTGAGTTAGTAGTCAAAAAAATACCGGTAACACTTTATAACTACCATTCAATAACCTTAAAAAAGTATTAACAAAAACTTAATGCATAATAAACACAAAATTTTATTCAGGCTTAGCAACAATTTCATTAAAGGTCCTACATTACACAAAAGTGATTCTTGTGAGATTTAAGCCATGTTATAATGCTGTTACCTTAATGCTGTTAACATTTCTGGTGTTATGTTTTGTTTCATTAACACACGTTTGAGTAATCCTTTATTAATAGTCTGGCTACATCTCCAAAGCTCAAAATGATTTGTTCCACCTTGTGATGTTGTGAAGAGGTAGTTTTCAAGTTAACAGCTACATTTTACCTTTTGTTCAGCAGAGATTGGCAATTCAAGGACTTTTGGAACGGACTATTTTTTGTTTTGTTTTTGTTTAACTCATTCTACATATGCAGGGTTTGTGTCTTAAAAATGTGTGAATGAAACAAAACACAAATCCAGGTATGTTTATGATGAGAAAACAACATAGATCAGAAAATAACATAATGTGGACCCTTCAATGCTCTAATCTTTGAAGTTAAACCTCTCTCTCCCTTCATCAGTGTGATATCCATTCAGAGTTTGCCAATTAATCAACCAGAACCAGAACTCCTAACCTTAATTAAGTAGTTACTAAGCCTGAATCATTCTTAATTTGCTTATTATGAATCATCATTTATTAAGGCTAATTAAGATGCAGTTAATATAAAGTGGTACTTAAATACATAAATAAGAGTCTACACGAGTATGACATTAAGATTATATTGAATTTATTAGATTGCGGGTGCTTTTATTGCTCAAACATATCTTGAATCACATGTATTCTTACTGTGAGCTGGATGTCCTCTCTAAAGATCTGACTTGTAACTGAAGGTATTACGTGATTGCCTTTACAGAGATAAGTTTAAAGTCAGAAAAGTTCCATAGTTCACCTTTAAGAACCCGAGTAAATGCAACTCTGAGCTTATGTGAACCCAGCCCTTGTTTTTGGACTGACTGAGTGGCAGGTCCTTATCAGTGCGCGTGCAGCAGTGTGACAGTTTACAGATGAAGCCTGCAGGTGATCCAATTGAATTAAAAGACTCCCTCTGAGCCGGGTTTAGCTACAGGCTCAAACTGACGGACAGGGGCACAAAGGGGCGAGATAATGGACAGACGCACGGGACACAAATAGACAGACACGCATACACCTGTGCACAGGTGTCAAAGGTCATGGTGAGAGAGAAGGGTTCAGCTGCTACACCTCACAAGTAAACACTACTCACCTGTCAGAATGATACCCTAACTACACAATCACACAGACATACACTATATTTTGACTACATATCTGAAATCTGTTAACCTGATTCATCAGCCGGTTTCACTTCGTAGAAACCCTCTGACCACGCAGCATTAGAATTTGTTCGCTTAACGGTAGGGGGGTATTTTGTTTCATTTAACCAATCGTTGCTATTTGGTCTTGATGTATGTAATGCGCCGCTAACAGGGCTAACTGGTATATTAAGCTTTTCCCAAATCCCGCAGAAAGAAGGGCAATAACGTCTTTCCCCTTCATAAAATTCACCAAATATTCTCTTTATTCCAGCTTTAAATCCTCAATCTCGGGAATCGTTGCCAACATAGAATGTATAGCTCTTTGCTGATTGGCTGGTGCCCGAAACTCGCACGTCTAGTGTATTCCGATTCCTGACCTAGTCGCTGGAGAGAAATTAAATTGAGCGGAGGCACTAGGTTAAGATATAGAGGTTAATACGACTAAAGTACAAAATTAAATAAATATGAAACATTATGATACACATGAAAATATTTACATAAATTTGATATGTATATTTTGCGCCTCGAGGTTGTAGTTAATTCTTTTTCATTCTATGGTGGCAGGTAAATGGCTAGTTATTATCCAAAATTGTGTTGTGAGATCAAAAGTCTAGTAACTAATAGAATAACATAAACTAATAGAAATGATTTGGTTCAAAATTTGTGAGTTTACCTTTTATTTAGGATAAAAATTTAATTAATAGTAAAAACTTGTGGGGAGTATAACATCATTACATTCTAAAGACTAAAAGCTCCAATCACAATCATTTTGAAATCACTCATTGAATTATCACAATTAGTCAAAGTGCATGCAGTTATTTGGCTAAACCTGCAGAGGACCTTTCAAAACATGTTCTGAAATGTTTGGGATTATTTGTTGTAATGCTCAAACTTGTTGCTCAAATGTGTACTGTGATCTGAACCCAGCTTTAACAAGATGTCAAAATTGTAATTTTTTATTTCATTTAATTTATTTGTTCGATATTGAAGAATATCTCATTATAGTTTGGTTCAATTTGATTCCCATGAAATAAAACATATTCGGTATGTAGAACTGCATTCCCACGAGCAGTACAGATGACATGATTCTGACCTGAGAGCCTGAGAGAGTGGCAGCAGGACACAGCAGCTTTCGACCTATTCTATATAGATGAGATATATTTGTATAACTTTTTTCTATATTTTATTTAATTTTTACCTTATTTGACATCAGTCTCTTGCTACCTTTGCTACTTACTTAGAATGTATTATTATCATTTTGCTTTGTTATTATAATATAGTGTAATGTGTGAGCTACTTTCCCTTGTAGATCAATAAAGTCAACTAATCTAAGGACTTAATCAAATCAAACACTAAAATAAATGTCCAAGTGTAGGCAGAAGCTAAAGCTCACTGTGTCTACATTTGTAGTAAGTCTGATTACCGCGGCTCCAGAGATCAAAAAATTCTCATGTGGTGTGCCCCAGGCTTTGATTTTAGGGTCAGTGCTTTTTAACCTGCATAAACTCTCTCTCAGAGGCGTTATCATGAGACTTCTCCAGTTTAAATGATACACAGTTTTATGTCTCCTGAGGACACCGGGCCAATGGATTTTAATTGCATTTTAGATATCAAATCCTGGGCTGCTGAAGACCTTCTCCAGCTTAACCAGGACAAAAGGTTTTAGTCATCGGCCCAGAGAAAGAAACTTTTACCTAAATTAAATGCACTGTAATCCATCTCCACAAATAAAAATCCTTACTATGACCTGACCTCCACATATTAAGAACATAACAAAAATAGCTTTCAATCTTCTAAAAAAACAGCCAGTGTTTGCCCCATTCTCTCTCATTTCCAATCCAATCCAACTTTATTTGTATAGCACATTTTATAAACAAGACAGTTTCCAAAGTGCTTCACATAGCAATGTAAAACATTTTCCTTAAAAAAACCAAACCAAAACAAAAAAAACCTGCAGAATTATGTTTCAACCAAGAGGAAACTAATAGAATAAAATAAAATAATAATAATAAAATCAATGTATAAAAGCAGTACTAAAAAAAATAAAATAGATAAAAACAATAAATCAATAAAATAAAAGATACAGAGGAGCACACAACTCATGCGGTATTAAAAGCTTGAGAATAAAAGTGGGTCTCAAGACGAGACTTAAAATGCTACACTGTGGGGGCTGTTCGGATGTGGGGGGCAGAGCGTTCCAGAGCTTAGGGCCAACCACAAAAAAGGCTCTGTCCCTTTTTGTTTTAAGTCTCATTTTAGGCACCACAAGCTGCAGCTGGCCCTCAGACCTCAGAGCGCGCAGGGGTGTAAATTTGGATGAGGTCCGAGACATACTGTGAGACCAGTCCATTCAAAGCTTTAAGAACAAATAATAAAATCTTAAAATCAATTCTAAAATTAATTAAATTAAGGAAGCCAGTGCAATGACGCAAGAATTGGGGTAATGAGATTGCGCTTTTTGCTCCCTGTTAAAAGACGCACAGCAGAGTTCTTGTTCTGACTGAAAGTAGGGTGGTGGTGAGTATATTTGAAGAATTATTTTAAAGGGCCCACAAACATATCAGAAGTTGTGTTTTGTTTCATTCATACATGTTTAGTTTGTTTAGTATAGTCACATGAAAGCGATTGGGGCGAACGCTGGCTGTTTTTACATGATGAAAGCTATTTTTGTTATGTTCTTAATATGTGGAATAAACACAGAGTACATTTTATGTAATATAGGACCTCTCTATCTAATGTATTAAAAGCGAGAATGAAAAATGAAGTTTCCAAATGCCTCTCTCTGATCCAGATCTTCCTGAAGAGTGACCGTGTGTCCCGGATGGTGCAAAGTGGGGGCTGTTCGGCCAGTGACTCCAGAGAAGTTTTCAAGAAGCACATAGAGAAACGTGTTCGGAGCTTGCCTGAGATCGATGGTCTGAGCAAAGAGACAGTCCTGAGCTCGTGGATGGCCAAGTTTGACACCATCTACAGAGGAGAGGAGGACCCCCGCAAACACCAGCAACGCCTGACCGCCAGTGCTGCCTCAGAGCTCATCCTCAGCAAGGACCAACTCTATGAAATGTTCCAATCAATCCTGGGCATCAAGAAGTTTGAGCATCAGCTGTTGTATAATGCCTGCCAGGTAAGGACAATGTAATACGGATTCTTTACTCCAGTCTTCCTATCTACATCTAACTGTTTACTTTCAAGTGATGCCAATCCTTAAATCAGTCTTTATTTATTTTTCAATCCATCTATCTTTATTTATAGAGCCCTTTACTTCACACAAGGTGCCCAGAGTGTTTTTCCTGTAAAATCAACAGTATAGCAACATGCAAAACATTAAAAACTGCAGTTGTGCAAAGTGTCACTGCGTCACTGAGTGTTGAAGGCCAGTCTAAATAAAGTTTTGAGTCTGGATTTAAACAGGCCAAAGTCTCTGTGCACATATCGGGGAGCCGTTTGGTTTGGAAATTTCTTGATGAGTAAAGCTAACCTGAGGCACTGCTTTGTTTTAACACAATTCAACCATGAAGAACTGACTTAGTTGGAACCGGTGAGATTATTTGTGCTGTTAAAAGTCCCTCTCAAATAACATTAAAGTCACAAGCGAGCCATTAACCAGCTGTTTGGTTAGTCGCACTCATCTTTTAGTTGAAAATCAAACTCAGTGTTGAAGTTAGCGTTTGGCAGAGATATGGCTCGAGTAGCGTTTTGTTTCTTTATTTGTTGCTTTGTCGCATAAGCCTCAAGAAAACTCATGATGATGATGTCGGTTATGACTTTAAGAACACATTAAGTTATAGAGTTACAGATTTCTTGCTGTCATGTGGCTTTATTGTTGCTACGCAGGCAGTTTAAGCAATAAGAACTTTATCAGAGAAATGGAGAGAGGGAGAGAGGGAATAAGAGAAGAAGGAGAGAGGGCGAGAGAGATGGAGAGAGGGAGACAATGAGGGGAAACATGAGGGAGGGAGTGAGGGTAAGGGAGTCTAGGGAGAGAGAGAGAAATGGAGAGAGTGAGGGGAAAAGGGAGGGACTGAATGAAAGAGAGAGGAGGGAGAGAGGGAAGAGAGGGAGTGAGAGAAAGAGAAGCAGAGGGTGAGTGAGAAAGAGAGAGGGAGACAGTGTGAGGGAGAAAAGGAGAAGGAGAGAGGGAGGGAGAGAGAGAAAAGAGAGTGAGTGATGGTGAGAGAGAGAAGCTGAGAGTGAGAGAAGGGACAGAGAGAGAGGAATGGAGAGAGAGAGAGAGATTGAGGGAAAGAGAGAAGGAGAGGGAGTGAGGGCAAGAGAGAGGGACCTTGAGTGAGGGAAGGAGAGAGAGGAATGGAGAGAAAGACAGAGAGAGGGATTGAGGGAGAGAGAATGAGGGAGAGAGAGAAAAAAAGAGGAAGAGCGGGTGAGAGAGAGGAGCTCAGAGTGGGGGAAGGAGAGAGACAGAGAGAGAGAAGAATGGAAGAGAAAGAGAGAAGGAGTGAGAGAGAGAGAAAATGAGGGAGAGAGAGAGAGAGAGAGAGAGAGAGAGAGAGAAGAGAGGGAGTGAGGGCGCGAGAGAGGGACCGAGAGTGAGGGAAGGAATGGAGAAAAAAAGAGTGAGCGAGTGAGGGAGAGAGAATGAGGGAGAAAAAGAGAAGGAGAGAAGGAGTGAGGGAGAGGAGGAAGAGAGAGATGGGAGTAGGGTGGAAGGAGAGGAGAGAGGGCTGAGTGCTGCAGTGGCTGTAACTGAGACCCTCATGTGCTCCTGTTGCGGTACGAGCCGCTCCACCCAGACTGGCTCATGAAAAAGCCAACGTCCCCTGGAAAGAGGACAGGACAGTAGAAAAGAAAGGCCAGACTTTGAAGTTTTCTCTCATCTCTCCCATCTTGTAAATGACTATGTTTGAATACATTTTAATTACAGCTCTTACCATAACATAACTAAACATCTGGCAATCACCAATCCAACTATAATGGTTCAATTCATGTTTATACCAAACACAGGATATCAGAATGAGTGTGTAAACAGAGTATTTCTTAACACCACTACTTGAAATTACAAATCTCCATATTGTCCAACTCCACTACTGTGTTACAAATAGGTCTGCAATTAACAATGCTGAGAGGTGGTGATTAGTAAGGAGTAGGTTGGAAGGGAGGCCTAGAGGTTATGCGGAAAACATGTACTAATTGAACTGTTAGTCTCACAGTTATCAGAGTAAACATTGCCTTGGTCATGTAAGAGCGGCACAGTCGGGCTAATAACTGCCAATTAAAATCCAACCCAAGATTGTAAGCAAAACTGAAAAAGCGCTCAGACTGGAAGAGACAATGATGCTTTTTCTGCGTGGTCATATAAAATCAAATATAACTACTATAACTTTATACAGAAGCACTTTGTAACTATTTTGGTAGGTCCACCACCTGCTTGTCTCCGTGAAAATGTCACTGCTTACCTAGAATCTTCAATAGAGTATGGCAAGGCTTATCTATCACCATGGAGACAAGCAAGTGACGCTGCCAGGCCAAGTTACAAGTCATATCTGTGGAGAGTAAACCCACTCTCAAATCAATATTGCATGTATTAAGGTAATTTTGAGCATTAAAAACACCCAAAATGAAACAAAAGCTTGATAGATAAGTTTGTCCATATTGCCGAACCTTTTCAAAGATTTAAAACAGAGAGAATGACACTTTGTATGACTATAAGTACATTGTTGTTTGATGGTCCACAGTATAAGTACGTTATATTGCTGTTGTAAAGTTCAAAGCTACCTTGAGAGAAACAAATACTGGCTTCATGATCCACAGTGGTATTGTAAACAGAGTAGGTAGAGTGTAAATCCTTTGGAAGTGGAACTCTTGTTTTGCTTCTTGACTGTTTCTCAGTTCATTGTCCTCTGTGGAAAACCTCCTAAAATTCAGAGTAAAGCACTATCATAAATACTCAGTTAAGTGCTTGTGCAGCGCTGTCTCACTGTTCCATTCATTTTCAGGCACACCAAGTTCAGGCTGATTCTGAAATGTGTGACACAAATTTAAATAAATAAAAATAACTCAACATTAATTATATTCAGAGTTGATCATGCACTTTTACTCATATGCCACTGTGGTGTCATCAGTAAGTATTTGTTTTTCAAACAGTCGTGTCACTGCATAATCACTTGGAGAATTATTTGCCTTGGCAACACCTGAAAAAAGAGAACTGCCAACTGAAAATTAAGCTTTTGACATACGCAAAACCTCCACCATCTCTATGTCACTGTGTACATGACCATATAGTTTCACTTGGAATGTTCCATCATATTAGCCTGATTCATCAGCTGGTTTCACTTCATGGAAACTGTCTGACCTCGCAGCATTAGGATTTGTTTGTGCGACGGTAGACAGGTACTTTTTAAATTTAACCAATCGCTGCTATTTGGTTGACGTATGTAATGCACTGGAATGTCAGTGGTGTCCAAGTAATTGCCGGCTTCACAGCTCTTCGCTGATTGGCTGGTGCACGGTCTACAACTTCCGGGTTCTTGCAAACCATTGTGCATTCAGATCCCTGACCTAATTGCTGGAGAGAAATGAAACTGAGCAGAGGCACTTGGTGGCACCAGCCTGGCCACCATCATATGGCATTACATTTATTAATCTCAGTGGAGACAAGTAGGTAATGCCAACAGTTGCAGTTACATGTGTGAAGAGGCAAACTGCACACAGTAATAATGCCTACTGTGGAACATTCCAAGGCAAAATAATTTTATATTTATGGAGACAAGCGGGTGCACCTTTAAAATAAACTAGTTTTTGACTAGTTTGACTGAGTTTTAGACTTGCCAATGTTACCGAAAATATGATAGACGTGGACCTTGATCGATCTCTTGAGGTTACATCCTTGCCCCATAAAAGAATTATTATTGTTCTATTTATTTTAGTATAGGTATTTCTATTTTTATCCTGTTTTGTAATTCTTCTACCCATGTTGTAGTAGGCTAATATTTGGAAGGATACTTCTTAAAGTTACCGTTCATAAAATGCCCTTTGTTCATGCTCACCTGTGCTCTCTTCTGTCAGGCCAAAGCTTGCACACTATCAAACAGCAGTAACGTAGATAACATCTAGTGATTATATGTGAGAATACAAAAGGGTGGGTCAGCCAAGATTTTAGCTTTAACTCAACCCATAAATACTAAATTTGGTGCAATTTCCTCAGTTTCTTTTTTTTCTGTGTGACTATTTAGGTCTGTCTATTTTTTATCTACTTTAGTGAATTTATTTGGAAGTAACAACATTTTCAACCCTCCAGTATTCAGCAGGGTGCATTTTTATCTCACAAAAGCTGTTCGCAAGACTGTCACAGATGAGCAAATTTGGATTTTTTCAAACTGCATCATGGGAGGAGAGAGACATGGCCACAGAGCTCAGTAAATGCAGTTTGATAAATTTGCCTGTGGCTGTAATGACGGCAGGGGCAGAAAGACAAATTGAATTGCGGAGCTACACAGCGGATACACTGTATACTGAAGGGAGTAGGGAGTGGATGTACTCTCCTCTCCGTCAGATGGTTTTTGGTCATTATGACGGTGGGAAAGGCAGCAGCAGCCATTCAAAGCTTCACACTGCTCACAATATGAACAACAAGACTATCAGACCCGCACTGAAAGCATCAAGTTAGATTTGCACTATAGGACAACATATGCAATGAACGGGGGTGGGAGCCTTTAGTCAAATCAGAGTATTGTGATGTAATGACGTAATGTTAATAACAATTAACATTACAATTGAGCAGCCAAAGAAAGAAGGGTGTGTCACTGCAAGTTTTACTTAGGTTTGAATGGGAATAAAGTCCGTCCATGGTTTCCAGTGAAAATAATAATGAGAATAATATGTTTTAATGATCATAACATATGATTTTGGTGTTGATTTTTATAGAAAATTGCCCAAAAGCATGTAATAAGATGATTCTGGCACTTCCAAAACTGCAAAAATAAGTGCATGTTCATAATCTTGTTTATATTTTTATATAAAGAAAAGAAACGAAAAAAGACTTGAGTGTGGTGAAAGAAGTCAGTAACATCTGAAAATTAAATTGCATCAAGCAGAAGACAAAAATGTTGTTTACTGTTGATAATTTTTCTTTTTAAAATGAAAACAATAAGGTACCATGTAGCCTTGACAGAATGAGCAGTTTGCAAACTAAGAATGAAAAAGAGCCAATAAAAAAATTAATTTCCAGTGTGACTGAGGTTAAAATATGCTACTTTTCAAACATGTAAAAACCATGGACATTGTAGATCCCAAATACGACCTTAAAGCTTTCTAACAGTGTTCACCATATTCTTTAGACACTGTGTTTGCGTGGGACCATCTGTAAATTTGCTTTGATTATTACATTAAAAAAAAGAAAATCTCCAATTAACACATGAAAGCCTAGGCTCTTGGTCCAGCACACTCACACCAACCCTCCCCACTGGCCTTTGTCCTCGCCGATGTAGTTTCCATGGCAACTGTACACAGAAGCCAGCCCCGGTCCCCGCTCCCCTTCCCCTCCCCTGTGATTCTTGCCATGCCAACTGTCTCTTATCTGGACTGAGGGAGGGAGGGGGTGATGCTCGTGCAGTGTCCAGTGGAGATAGTGCCTGAGCTACAGGAATAGACAGGACGGCGGACTGGTGCCTCCTCCTGCTGGACACTGGAGCATCATTTATTTAAAGAAAAAATCTAAATGTTAAAAGGTGTTTTCAATGTGTTGTTTAAGCTATTTGTATTGATTTTGTAACCTGCTCACTTACTGTTTTAAAAAGGTATTATAATCACAACTGAACCTGAGTTGTCAGTGCCTTAACCTGAATATATAGAGGACACATCAAAGTTTTTCTCATTCTCAATATATGAACAGGTCATGCCTTGTGCAAAAGCTCAGAACCTGCATTTGTACTGATAAACGAGAGGCTGCAGTTGGTGGGGTTTAGATAGTGAGGATTCAGATCAGAAATAGCCCTTTTACGTTTTAAACTAACTGGATTTCAGCATTGAAACTGGAAACCCAAATGAGAGAGTCATGTGAGGCTCATCCTGCTTTCTGACTGGATAATCATCATCTCCAAAATATAAAAGAATTGATGTTTACCTCATATCTAGAGATATAGGTTGGTCAAGTTTATGAAACTGAAAATCAACATCATACATACAGTTCCTTTAACATTAGTTTATTCATTCATTAATCCATTAAGTTATCTTATCTTCTATTTATTTTTTTATTACAAAGAAATTAGGAATGTATTCGGATGGGTTTGCCTCTCCCCAGATGCTCATCATCTGATTTTCCCCTTCAAGATAGAAGAAAACATAAATCAAGTCAAGTCAGATAGATTAGTTTCATGCCATGCTGTGGAATATTCCAGGCAAACCAATAACATCCCTGTAGAGTTCCTTAATGCTAGGGTTCTAAAACCATAGAATCGCTTCTTCGACACTGGAAGATGAAAGTGAAAGGCATAAACATGGAATCCAAACATACTTGAATCAAACCAAACACAACTCTTAAAAATAATATATTGTTTTAATCTACCAGTGAATTTCTAGGTTATGTGAGGTCGGAAGCCTTGTGCCACGTTAGCGAGTGGTTATGAATTTGCGTCTGTTTGATGTCCCCGCACCAACTGCCCACTCCACCCACACTTCCACTCCCCCTGCCAGGACCTGAGCCCCCTGCAACGCTGCGCTCACAGCTTACATAAAGAGCATGCCGGCCCCCCACATCCCCAATGTATGCTGCTGTGTGCTGCTCCGACATCATATAGAACAATACAGCTATTGTGCACAATATTAAAGCGCCTTGTCAGCTTATAATGTTACAGTGTTGTTTCCTCATCAAAAACATACCTGGAGTTATGTTTTGCTTTATTAACAAATGTTTGAGTAATCCTTTATTATTAGTACATCTACATCTCCAAATCTCATAAATGCTCTGTTCCACCTTGTGATGTCATGAAGCAGCTACTTTTTTCCTTTAGCTCAGTAGAGATTGCCAAGGCCTGATTTCTAGGGCTGAAATGATCCAAATGATTCTAGTGAAGGTGTGTGTTTTTAGTTTGAGAGAAGAACTCAGCCTAAATATGCAGTTTGTGTGTGTTAAACATGCATGAATGAAACAAAACACAACTCCAGGTATGTTTGAGATGAGGAAACAACATTATAACATAACACGGGCCTTTTAAATAATTGAAATTCATGGGATTCTTGTTCACATCAGTTCAGTCTTCTCTCAAAGGTTGATGTTCCAGGAGCTGTTTACAATGTGCACTCAGAACCGAACAGAACACAGACTGTAAACTGGAAATCTAATCGCAGTACTTTTCTAAAATTGTACAGCCCATAAGTTTTCCATAAGTTTCTAGAACCTTTAATATTTTATCTATGACTAAGGAATGATATCTAAAAATGTTTACAAAGCCAGTGCTGCATTATTTATATGGTGAGAGTGGGAATTCACGTCTGACAGTAAATCATTGTATTTTTTTTTTTTCCTAGCTGGACAACCCAGATGAACAGGCGGCTCAGATCAGGAGGGAGCTGGACGGACGATTGCAAATGGCAGATCAGATTGCAAGGGTAAATGTCACACACAAACACTCACTGTCTGACTCTCAGTGTTTGTTTCGTCAACTGGAATATTTCTTTTGTTGATATCATATTTTTGCTGTAATACAAGTAAAATTAAATGTAATCATAATGACTAAAATCTCACCTCAGAGGAGCAGGTCGTTACTAGTGATGGACAAAAACAGTGATTTTTGTATTGATTAGGTACCAGGTAAATCTAGATAGGCCTATAACTAGTATCACAACATTGAGCCACAACATTGAGCTAATACACAGCAAATTCCAGAATGTTAATTCAACTTGTATATTGTTAATTTTAACACTTTTACCATGTCATAAGCGGTCCACAAATAAAATGAGTTAAAACTACACTTTCCAAAGCGTAGAAGGCTCAACACTGGTAAAGTGATGTAACCTCACTCCTCATAGTTGAATTTGACACTGATAAAGGTTTGATTTTTTTTTACACTAGTGTATAGAGAAAAATTATTAACTTTATATTGCTTTATATGTTTTAACACTTTAAAGTTACCACTTTATGAAATAGTGTAGAATGTTCTTCATGTTACACTATTCAATAGTAACTCTTTCTTCACTAAATACAGTGTAAATGTTGTGGTCATTCTAGTTCATAATCCCTTTTACAAATGTAAAACAATGAAAACCACCACAAAATTCCATTTCAACTTAACTTGTATTAAAACAATGCACATCATACCATCAACACAATTTAAACAAGTCATATGACACAATACTACTTTTGCAAAATCCAAATGACAGCAGAAATTCTCTGCACCCTCAACAGTTGGCCACAGTGACTGTCATTTATTTTGTTAAAGTTGATTTTTCAATGCAAGCAGTCGATGGATGAATCAAAATCTTGTTTTGAATGGAATTCAGGCATGCTCATCTCCAAAAATGAAAGGAGCATGTCTGACTGTTTGAAACAGGATCCTGCTCATTATGAAACATTAACATTGCAGAAACTTTTTACCTCAAGAGTCAGTCTTTCAGTCTTGGGGTGTCTTTTGACACATCCAATGTCCATGTTGTAGACAGTTCTTTTAATACAGGTGTAAAGTTTGTGAGAGTCTAAGAACCATGTGCCTTGAAGTGTTCACCAAATACAGCCATGTCAACGATGACAAAAACCTTTGTCCTTCCCACTTCAGTCACAGGTAGAAAGGCTGTTCAGGATAAACCAGCAAGAAATGTGTCCATACCCATCTGTAAAATAAAATATAGAATAGAAAAAATATAACATATTAAAGTAACCTTGCAACCCTAACCCTAACCCTTGCAAACTGGGCTATGCAATATTTAATGAGCCATGAATAAAAATTAAAAAAGTAAATATAGAGTATTATTATTATTATATTATGGTGCATATATCATTATTTGTCCCTATTAAGCAGGTTATTCTGTTGCATGAGCTGTATGTTTTTGTATACTGGAACCATTCAAATAAAGAACTTGAAGAAATAGGTCATAATTGTCCTAAATCATCGCGTTACATTCATTGTGTAGGGCAGGAGTCAATATCATTACAATGACCTAATTATGGCCTCATATATTTACGTGAGTCATTATTTACAGATATTGTACTTTCTTCCCATTGTGAAAATACTAGACAGGAGTACTATTTTATGTTTTATCCTCATAATTGCATTAACTTTAAATGACAAATCAAATGTTTCGTCCAGTTACATTTAACCCAAGTTACTTGAAGAGTAGTTTCCCCGAGTACTTTTACTCTTAGCTACTTAACACATTTTTTGGACTTCTACTTTTTACTTAGACTTGAGAAACATTTTTTGAAGTACCGTTATTCTTAATTTAGTATAATTTGTGGCTATTTTACCCAATTTCATGGACATTAGTGACGGGGCAACATTGACTGTCACAGCTAAGTTAGTTAGCTTACTACTACTAGCATTAGACCAAATATATTTAGTATTTTTATGAATTAAATTAACTGCAGAGTGTCCTAAAAAGGTAAAGTAATCTGACCTGGGGCATGTGAGAGCTCAGGTGGTTGGACTTGAGGCTCTTTGACTTCAGGTTCTGCTGAAAAAGAAACGCTGTTATCTGTTAGCTTAGCTTCGGACGGTGAAATGTGGCTTCCCTCTTGGACTGTAGCTCTCCCGCTGTAAACGTTACAAAAGTACAACACTGATGTAGTGTATTATTCAAAATAGACACTTTCTAAGTTCTAACACTGTGAATCAACAACTACTCATTTTATGTCAACACTGCAATTCAACAACTAATTTTACTCTACAGCACTGTCATAGTTGAAATAACTCTTAGTATATTGAAACATATCTGGATTTTCTTCACTTTACTTACAAAAACACCAACACCATGAATTTAATACTTTTGAATTTGCTGTGTACCAGTACGAATGAGTTTTGTTTCAAAAGTTGGTATATAAGAGGCCATCATTATCTTTGCTCCGACTCATCTTAAACTGATCTACAAAATACATTTCTGAGCGGATAAAATAAAAACAATGCATAGTTGTGATGCACTGTATAACTATTCAACTGTGTTTCATCTATTCAACTACAAGTGTTATTTATTGCTCAGAATGTCTTAAAAACATCCATTCTTCTGTAAGTGGGGTTGCATCTCCAAAAATCTAACCTCAAATTTGGCTTGCAAGCCTCCATGGAGATTCTTAGATTTATGACCATATTGTGAAACACTATAGGCACATCTCCATAGACAAGCAGGTGACCCTCCACTGGATAAGTTACACCTTTAACTAAATCTTGACTAAAACAAAATATTACTTTAAACAAAAACTAAATAAAAATGTATTGTAAGAAACACGACAAATACAAAACAACAACAAAAATCACTATTATCTATCACAATACCGTAAAGTTTCTGTCTGTGTTAGCATGGTGGTAGGTTCCCCAGATTCTGCTCCAGGGAGATGGAGGCCATGTTCATTGAGGAGCTACGGTCTTCTGTGAACCTTCTCATGGCCAATCTGGAGAGCATGCCCGTGTCCAAGGGAGGAGACTTCAAACTGCAGAAGCTCAAGAGAGGACACAACGCCTCCATTATGGACATGGGCCAGGAGGACGAGAACACATTGTCCAAGTCTGACGTAGTGCTGTCCTTCACTTTAGAGGTTTGTACACAAATCATGTACTGAATAAACTTTGGGACTTGAATCTGGATAGTGGTGGAGTAAGTATTCAATTTTGTTGCTTAGGTAAAAGTACAGATACATGAGCAGAAAAATACTCAAGTAAAAGTATTAAAGTACCCGTTAAAAAAACTTCAAGATTAAAAAGTAAAAGTATTTCTCACAGATTTTGACACTTTTTAACACTTCAAATGTGGTGATTTTGATACAGATTTGTGCTGAAGGGTCTTCAACAAAAACAGCTGAATCAATTGTTTTTTTTGCTGCTATTTTTATTTGTTTATTTGTGTTTGCTTGAATTATGAACATGTTAAAAATAAACCCCTCATCCTTTTCATCAGGTCTAAATCTATAATAAAAAAATACTTTCACTAAATGCTTTTCAGTCCAGTTCAACATGTAGTGGAGCAGAAAGTACAGATACCTGCTCTCAAATGTACTGAAGTAAAAGTAAAAAATATCCACAGTAAAATGCTCTTGAGTAAAGTACTTTACTGCCTTTACTTAGTTACGTTCCAATACTGGATCTGCATGGGTAGTGATAGCAGTGAAGCAATGAATCAATTTGTGTAGCTAAGAGACTGGTGATAGTGAGAGGGGGAGAGGCTGAAGTGGTCGATGATTCTGCTGCTGTGGAGATGGCAGAGAGAGACAAGTTGCTGAAACAGGGCAAAAAAGAGAAATTAAAGCTGCCCTTGTCCTGACATTCACGCCCCTCCCACGTGACCACAGAGAACAATTACACAGTGCACCTTATTTTTTAATCTTTGCACTTCTGCTGATCAACCGTGAAAAATGCCCCATATCCGTAATACATTTTAGCAGTTCCCAAATTTGGTAAATGTCTGATAATGTTGACGTTTCATGTCTGTGGTAGGAGGCAGTATAGTGTACAAATGTCATACGCTTTACAGTATTATATTCAGGTCAAGATCTCACATTAGTCAATCAGATTTCAGTATGATCGAGCTAAGTATGTGCAAGTAAGATTTTTGGGGGGGAGTCGTTGTGCCCCTGCTGGCTGACGGTAGAAAAATGCCCCATGACCATAATGTATTTTTTGTTTGTAGTCAGCCATTGAATGTAATCCCCAAATTTGGTATAAATCTGATAATGTTGACATTTCGTGTCTACGAAATGTCAACATTACATTATGCTATAGTGTCACTTCAGTTCAGGGGGTGAAAAATGCAATTTCCTACTGAGAAAACAAAAAAGTAGAAGAAACAGGAGAACAATAACCCTTGCCATTTACTCTGTTACTAACTGAGGCCAATGATATGAATAGCTTGAGATATAAGTAGCTGAACAGGAATGGCTTCCAAAAACAGAACTGTAATATAAGGAACTGCAATCTTCCTGAATCATTGGGTGCATTTACAGGGCCAGATTTCTTCTGGCTATGTACCCAGTGAAACAGGGCAGATTTACATGACAAAAATCAGATAACCCTGTGATCAGATCTGATTCTTGGTGTTTGTTTACAAGGACAAAACAAACCTGATCATCAAAAACTCCTGGTGTTCAGTAACTGTTGCATTTGGAAAACAAAGAACAAGGCATTTTTCTCATCATTGTTGTCTGCATCCTTCCTTGTCAAAACCTGCGCAGATGTGATCTGTCTGATTACTCGCATCAGCAACTGTTTACATGACATTTAAATCATACGATAACTCCAGAAATCAGAGAATGATCGGATTTGTGTAAACATAGTTACATTTCTACAGGCAAACACATTTTTGTTAAAGGTCCTAGATTATACAAAACTGAATCTTGTAAGCCATGTTATAATGTAGTTATTTCCTCAAAAACTTACCTGGAGTTGGGTTTTGTTTCATTCAAGTTTGAGCAATCCTGGTTTGTTTGTCTACATCTCCAAAACTCAAAATGCTCTTTTCCATTTTGTGATGTCATGCAGTGGTAGTTTTCAAGTTAACAGCTACTTTTTACCTTTAGTCCAGTAGAGATTCAAGGCTGAAGTCATCCAAATTATTCTAGTGAAGGTGTAGTATGAAGGTTAAAAACACGGTGAAGAACTTCCTGTGTTGCCACATAACACATGACATGAAACTGTTTTCTGTTTGAGAGAAAAACTCATCTAAATGTGCAGGATTTGTGTGTTAAAATTGTGTGAATGAAAAAAAAAACACAACTCCAGGTATGTTTTGATGTGTATTATAACATAAATCCAAAAATAGTGTAATATAGGCCCTTCAAGTTGTACGTGAGTCCAATCAGAGACTGTATACTAAGTACTTAAAATTGTTTTCACACTGCTTATGGAAGTACTAGGCTGAGACTGTGGTTTCCTGGCAGTTATAGATTACTCATTAAAACATTATCTGTTTTTCTAAAGGATTATTAAAATGCATACATCTATTAAAGGGTTAATGGGGGTCATTTGTGCACTTGCCTCTCATCAAAGCTGTTGTGAGATCAATCCCCTGAGTCACACATTATACTGTGGTGGGTGGGGTCTGCTCATAGACTGTATTGTGTGTGTGCTGATGGTCTTGTTATATAGAGTCTCTATGGCTAATTCCAGCTTTTAATTGGATGATTTCTATTTTCTGCTATTTTCTGATCTATGAAATAATGTTATTTCTTCATCAAAAACAGAGTTGTGTTTTGTTTCATTCTTACAAAATCTGACTATTTGGGTTGAGTTCTTTGACTGAAAAACTGAAAACACTCTGTTCTACCTTGTGATCCCATGTGGTAATATAGAAATTGCTTCACTTTGTTTTTAAACTCCATTTTGAGCTTTGGAGATGTAAGCAGACTATTTATTTATTTATTTATTTATTTGAGACAGCGACAACGCACAATTTTTGCATTAACCTCAACAGGAAAGATGCATTGTACATCAGGTTGTAGCATCCGTGTCCCTGGGCAGGTTTACTGATTGATTGTATTTAACTGACCTTGACTATCAACTGTTCTGGAGACCTAGTATCTAGCATGTTTTTTGTTTTTATGTAATAAACCAAGATTAATCTTGTGTGAATGAAACACAACACAACTCCAGGTATGTTTTTGAGGAGGTAACAATATTCCAACATGGCATAAAGCTCACAAGAGTCAGTTTAATATAATAAAAGGCCTTTAATGTAGGCATACTGCTAATTTAACCGACTGTGTGCATATATATCTATATTGTGAGCTTGTCTAAGGTTGGTTTGGCACAGACAAAGGGATAAAGATGATAGAAAAACAATGGTGCGCATAAAGACAATCAGAGCTTGATTTACAAAAATAGCCTAGCACAAAACAGAATATAATGGTCATGTAAATTATCACATCTTTATATAGCATTTTTTCCCACCTTCAAGGCACTCAAAGGGCTTTTACATTAAGGAACCACTCACCCATTCACACACACATTCATACACCACACTGAAGGCGAGGGGGTTAAGTCTCTTGCCCAAAGAAAACCACTGCTCAACTAATGATGTTTATGTTGAGAGCAGGATTCAAACTGCCAACATTCGGATCAGTGGGCAAATACTTTCCCTACTGCAACTACTGCCGCCATTAAATTTAACATAAATGTCTGAATAAACTGCAATCTAACAAAGGGCAGCCACTGGCACAGCTAAAGCAGAATTATGTTCTTTTTTTTTTTAACTAAGTAATGTAGTCGTAAAAGCTATTCATTCAACCTTCAGTTCAAATCTTATCATAGCACAGAAAAATAACAAAAGGTTTCTCACTAGTACAAAGAGAAAGTACAAACATTAAGTACTGATCTCCAAAAACATTATGAGACAATATAGTAATTATTGTGACAGCTCTACATGAGAACAGCAATATGCATATATGGTGTAAAAAGGCACACTGTCAATTGCAGTTTTGTAGGATGTCTGAATGTCTAATCTTATATTAATGGTCCAATGTTACACACACACACACACACACACACACACAAAAGACTCTCGTGAGCTTTAAGCCATGTTATAATGTTGTTACCTCCTCAAAAACATACCTGGAGTGGTGTTTTGTTTCATTCACACATCATGAAGCGGTAGTTTTCAAGTTAAGAGCTACTTTTTACCTTTAGTTCAGTAGGGATTGGCTGAAATTATCCAAATGATTCTAGTGAAGGTCCACGATGTTTAAAAACACAGTTGATCATCACAGCACAAGATAGAACAGCGTGTGTTTTCTGTTTGAGTGAAGAATGCATCTTAAATATGCAGAGTTTGTGAGTCAAACGTGTGTGAATGAAACAAAACACAACTCCAGGTAGTGTTTTGATGAGGAAACAACATTAGATATAATGCAGATCATAGCATAATGTGGGCCCTTTAAGCGTAAGTGAGTATTTTAAGTGTTGGTGTTAATATTGGGGATTGTAAAAGCTGATTTGTATTAAGTATTACAATTCTTTCCATTCCAACAGGCTGCTTGCTCTTGGCTCGTGCACACAAAGAGACATTTTTCCATCTGTCTGAGTATAGATAATACAATGTGGGTGAGGTGTAGAAATTATTTGTACTGTGAATGTGTTCTTTATGCCAGCACCTGCCTCTCTGAGAACGTGGGCACTGCTCAAAATAGTTCCCAGTATAAGCCTGCTATACTGCTGTACTGGCCAACACACTGGGTTATGCAATACTAAAACTCACCTGAAGGCGGCGCAAATGCCACTTTGTTTACTAATGGACTATCTATAGTGGAGAAGAAGTTGACTTATATTGAAACATGGAAATACTTTTTTTTTCTTTCGCGAATTAGTTTGTGTTTTTCACCTCTCTGCAGGTTGTCATCATGGAAGTCTTGGGGCTGAAGTCCTTGGCTCCAAATCGGATAGTTTATTGCACGATGGAGGTGGAAGGAGGACACAAGCTGCAAACGGACCAGGCGGAGGCGTCCAAGCCCATGTGCGTACAGCGGTCTAAAATGCAAGATGAACTAGGCTTATAAGCAACGAATCAAGATTACATTATGGAAGTATCAAGAAGGACTACGTTTAGGGCGAAGCTTCTGAGAAAAAAAAAAAAAAGAAATAAAACGAACTTGATATTGGATCTGAATAGCGCATGGGAGAGTTGAGGATTCTTATCCCTTGCTATATTCTGCCCTCTGCTGGAAAGAGTTGTAACCTACAAGGGAATTTCAGTGTAATTATGGCCATCACTCAGACATTAATTACTGAGTCAATCTATATGTGCACAACTACTGATGACTATACTCACCACAAAGCAGTTTAGAATAAGGGTTCTAATACGAATCTTACATCTTAATGGCCGTACAATCAGCTTTTTAATCTACATATATTTTTTTTTACATAGCAGTCACTTAAAGCTACAGTATACAACTTTCTGGAGGCATGCCACCTGCATTTCATAAAAAAAATAAAATACAAGTTAAAACCATACTTTCTTTATGGAAAGATGAAGTGAACAAGAACAACAGACCAAATAAGGGTCAAGTTTGTATGTAGGCCTAAGCCGACGTTTTTTAGTGCAATACATAACACAACCAAAATAACTAAAAAACACATGCTTTTTTGTCTATTTTTGGCCTACTGTGGCCTTAAATAATTATATGATGTAATATATATAGATTGCTTTAAAATTGTTTAGATTGTCACCCTGCATTTGTTTCTCTTATAAGTGAAAGCCTTATACCTTGTAGTAGTTTTTATATTATATTTGGTTTGTTTTTAGGTGGGGCACACAAGGGGACTTCACCACCACTCAGCCGTTACCAGCTGTCAAAGTAAAGTTATTCACAGAGAGCACTGGAGTTTTGGCCCTGGAGGACAAGGAGCTGGGAAGGGTATGAGCTTCACTGTGTAGTACGATGTGGTTTTGTCCATACTAACCATCAGTGAGTTATAGTGTTCAGTGTGTGTATGTTTCTCAGGTGGTGTTGCACCCCACTCCTAACAGCCCCAAACAGTCGGAGCTCCATAAGATGACTGTGTCCAAAGGCTGTGCGGACAGTGACCTTCGGATCAGACTGGCCGTGCGCATGGACAAGCCTCAGAACATGAAGCACTGTGGGTAAGTGTCTGACCACAGCAAAGCCTGGTATACTGTATTTACCCATATCATTGTCCTAAGCAATGTTTGAAACAGGATTGTGCAATTAATGTGATTTTAATCAAGATCAAGATTAAGTCATCTCTAATATGCACATTTTTATGGAGAGATCCACATCCAGTTGAAATAGATACTAAAGTTTTACATCCAAGCAAATGCACACATCTGTGTGTGTGTGGGTGCCTGTTTATAGCAGTATTTATGATTAATTTGCACATTGTTTTTTTGCTAATTATTTTCTTAATGAATCTGGCTTAAATGGACTTGCATGTCCTGTGCTACCATGCTGTCCCTACAGGCCTGTGTAACCAGTTGTGCACAGAACAACAGTGTTGGCTTGGCAGCATTGCCAGATGCTGTCTTTAATGCTTCCTTGTTTCTGAATGCTCATTCCACCAGTGTCAAGCCTCACAGCAGAGTTTGATAGACAGAGTCTGATTTGGTTCCTGTGAAAAGTTGTGACCCACGGCTGTGTTTTATGTAGGACAACAAACAGACAGCTGAGAGAGGCCCTCAGAGGTGCACTTACAGCACCAGGGGCCCTGCAGAACTAGGCTCTCACCCTCCAATGTTTTTAGCACACAGACATTATCCTGTCCTACTACTGCTCGTATGAGTCCCAAACCAAAAGCCACTCAAAAGCCTATGTGTTCAAGGGAAGTCACTGTTTTAGTGTTGACAAGAATTTAGAACCAAATTCTCTGATGTGTGGCATTTTATTTCAGCTGAATTGCCAGCCCTTACTGCTATTGATGTGTGGTGTAGTCAATTTGATGTGTTTTTTGAGACTTTATACATAAGCCATAATTATAACTGATTTTCAGTGCTGATACTATACTTTTTATAAAGAGCATTAACACAACAAATTCAGAGTAAAATCTCCACATGTCCATAAGATCCAGCGTACAAAATGCTTGTGCAGACACAGGTTCTGTTAAATCTCAGAATTTAATACTCGCATACCTAGGGAGAGAGATATATTTCACCAGCAGAGGTCAGTGTTTGCATGCATTCCACAAGACAAGCTCTGAAGATATTTACCTTTATAATAGTTATTTTTTTAATGGAAGAAGTCATCTTCCCTGATAACATAAAATTGTAATAATTTAGTCATCTAAATAATTACAATGTTTTTTTTAAATTAATAATAATGTAGTGTATTTTTCATTGCCTCTCTATTTTCTAATAGGGATTGTATTTATTATTAGAAATTATTATTGAAAACATACATTAATGTTTCCAAATTTATATTATTCTCTGTTTCCATAAATAAAAAAATCTAATAATCAGAATATATATAGTATATATTGTTATTACTATCTCACAGAGCTCCTTCCCTCAGATACATCCCAAAATGAGATGTTAAATTACAGATTATTTATTATTGTTATTTAATTGTCTTTCATTGAAATCAGTCACATTTTCAAATCGTACTGAATTTCAATTTATACTTAATTTATTTAATACTATTGAAATATGTATTTTAATTGTTCTTGTCTTTTTATTCAAAGATACTTATGGGCCATTGGTAAAAATGTATGGAAGAGATGGAAGAGACGCTTCTTTGTGCTGGTCCAGGTGAGTCTTATGCATCTCTACAGCAAACCAAAGAAATCAGCCTGTAAAACCGTATGAAGACGTGGTGTTATACACATTTTAGTAATTATTTTATTTGTACACCAATGTTAGTATGAAATTAATTATGTAAATATCTCTTTAATATAATTAGGTGAACAATATTAACATGATAACATGATAAAATGATAATAAAGTACACATACCTTGCTGTAACTCACACACACGCACAGACATACACCCATTTTTTTTTAAAGAAAGAATGCAAAAATGTTTATTTACTGTTTATAAGTATACACATTTTTTTGCACACTCTTCAACAGTCACCTCATGCTTAGAGTATAACACCTCTTTTGAATGCTCTAGTAAAGCGAGAATCTTCACTGGAGTCTTTCATTCCCTTTAGGCTTAACCATTTGCTGCACAAATAGGTGAACTAAGAGTCAGAGAACCATCTTAACCGCCGGTGTGTCCCTTAACCATGTATAGTGCAGTCAGTTGTGTGTGTGTGTGGGTTTGTATGTATGTGTGTGCGTGTGTGTTTGTATGTATATGTGTGTGTATGTGTGTGGGGAGGCGGTTGCTGTCAATGGGATGATTGAGCGAGCAGGCAGGCTTTTGTCAGGAGCTCTGATGTCAATGCTTGTGTGTCTGCGTTAGAAGGTGGGCGACTGGTGTATGCGAGGGAGGGGCTGGGTTGGGTTGTGGGTTGAGGGGGGTGTTGGGGGCTGTCCCTGCTGTGTTGGGGAAGGATATGTCTCAGAGCTACAAGTTGACAGGGGATTGACAAAGTGGAGTGAACACTAGCTTGGCCTAACACTTGCAGCTAGAAAAGCCGGAGCGCCGCCAACTTGAAGCCTCTTCCTGGCTCCCAGCTTAATATATAACAAGTGACAAACACCAGTCCAGAGTGAGTGTGTATGTGGCTGTGTTAGGAGTGTGTATGTGGGGTGGGCATGTACTTTTTGATGCCATCTTGGTGGAGGTGCTCTTTGGTGTCCGCTTTATTGTAGTTTCCTGTTTGCGTTTTCTGTTTGACCTGCATTACGTGTATTAAGTATCAGGGCTGCCGTTTTGGGGAAAAAATTAAACAGCATTTTTCTGCAATAGGTGTTTAAAATGTTGGATGCTGTCAGTCAACTCCAGGAGCATTGCCACCAGAAAGAAGACTGAAATATGAACTGAGAAACTAATACAAAGATCCCATGAGATTCAGAACATAGTGTGTAGATGTCTAAACTAGGCCTGTCACGATAAATACTGCATTGACTTATTGTTCAAAATGGGACAGATGGAACAATCATTTGTTAGGGTCAGTATCTATCATGGGGACTTATTTTTGAACTGGTGGGACATTTATTTTTGTTATTTTTCTCTTCTACGCTAAGATTTAAACTGTAGAGGGCAGAATAAATCATTTGTATGACTCATTATAGATGCAAAGTAAGTATTAAAGTGTTTCATTCTGCATTTTATTTCATTGCAGTTACAGTGATACATTCAGAATAGTCTTTAGGGGTTGTGTCAGTGTCATAAATTTATTTAGTTTTATAGTTAATCATCTATATTTTCTTCAACTATATAGCACAACTTCAAACGTTGTAACAGGCCTTGTCTAAACTACAATGGGGTCCATTTAAAACCTGATAACTCTGTATTTTAGATCTCTACGAACATGTTCAGAAATCCGTAGTATTTAGAGCAAAGCGATGCAACCAAATATTGATATCAATGTATTAAAGAGAAATTTTACACTATTTTGTGACTATATAACCGAAGCTTGACAAAATACTTCAAGATAGCATTTATAATAAGTTCTGCTCCCTCTCTCATTACAGTCCTCACCTCCTTTCTCTGTCATTGTTGTGTAGAGCCTCCACAGTCGGTGTTTAAGCTGCTCTCGACATCAGCGGTGGCAATTAGCTACAATCTGTCTGCCTCCTGTTGCAACTGAGGAAACCAGCTGCAATGTGTGCAATTGTATCAACATTTTATCCCTGATACTTTCATATTGTCCCCAAAGCTAACAGTAATATATCATGGGCTATATGATAATGCCCAGCTCTAATGGTTTTCTTGCATTAGTTTACCAGTTCATTTTTTTGTATATACTTGTAAATGTGCACTTTGATCTGAGCATATATTTCAAATCTTAACAACAATGTCAGAAGAATTATCATTAATTGTATATTTTTCCCATTTTTTTTTTTTACAATTTACCATAAATACTTGAACTGCAAAACAACTATTGGTATTTAGAAGTATTTACTCTAGTTGTATGTGCTTGTATGCATCTTTCTGTTTTATTAGATGATAGTTCCATTCTGTGCTGCAGTTATCACATGACTCTGTATTCAGATTAGTTCTTAACAGTCAAGTACTTGCCAATCATTTACTCACGCTTGAACTGAACCCCAGGAGTTGTCAGTGTTACACATTGAGACTGCTCCTAGATGTTGATTAATGTTTTTATTAAATATGATCAAATCCTGCTATTCTTGAGCCAATTTTCAATGTCGGTGATGAGAAAGTGCAAATGAAACACCTACATTCACAGATCAAAACAAACTCTTTAAAACTCAAGTGGAAGAAAACAGCCAGCTTTGGCATGAATCAAGAAAGATGAAGACATACATATACAATTGTTGGCTGTGGTTACATGCTGCTTAAAATCAGATTATTATCATATATTTTAACTGATAAGACTATTAAATGACATGTAAATGGGTAAATAATATGATTTCTGCCTGATCACGGGCCCTCTGATTGCTCCCACCAGAATTTGCAGTTTGCATGTCATTTAGATAATCTTAGAGGTGCAGAAATCCGATAATAATCAGATTTTGGTTCATGTACCGGCAGCCAATGATTACCAAAGAAAACACCAAAGAAGGCGTGAGTAGAATAATGCATTGAAACTTAAATCCTTAATACATTTGTAAGTAATTCAGTTTTTTCTTAAATTATTCATCTCACAAAGTCACACAATTCTTTTTGAAAACAAAGAAAACAAAAAAGCAACTGAAATATAGTATTTGTCAGCACTTTATAAAGGATTTATGATCAAAGCATAGACTGTATACATAAATGGACATAACTAACCAGCTAGTTGCTACGTTCCAAATAGGAAGTGGACATAGGGGCACTTCCGGCTCTGTTTCCAATTGACTTTACATTGAAAGATTGGCATTTTGAAATCAACTAAATGATTCTAGTGAAGGTGTATGGAGTTTAAAATCGCAGTGGAGCACTTCCTGTATAACCACATGACATCACAACAGCATTTTCAGTTTGAGGGAAGAACTCTTATAATCTAAATATACAGGGTGTGTGTGCTAAACGTGTGAATGAAACTAAACATGACTCCAGGTATGGTTTTAATGAGGAAATAACATTAGAACATATAGCAGAAAATAGCATAATATGGGCCCATTAACTATTTTATTAAGTCTAATTGTGATGTAATTATTTTAAAGTGTGTCCTATTTAAAATACATTAGAATCATTTGTGAAGCCCTAGTCAGTCTGCATGCAACTTTACATCGAGTTTAGCCCCTAAAGTTTGGGGAGACACATGCCACATCAGCTCTATCACATGCAGTGTTTGTGTGCATGTGTTTCCTGTAATGATGTGGGCAGGCGACTGGGGCCTTCCTCCTCAGTGAGGGGTGACTGACAGCTCCTATCCCTAGAACAGCAGCATGTTTTGGGCTGGCTGTGGTGAGGGGCGGGCTCTCCTGGACCCACCATGCACAGTGTTATCCTGAAGGGAGCTTCTCTGGTAGTCCTCCATGCTTCACTTAGCCTCAGGTCTCATCAGAGCGGCAGTAAGGAATTTCGTTTGGCACACACACACACATATGCAGCTGGACTGAGAGCTGCCAGTCGTTGAGGCAGAGGTGGCGACAGTATTGCGTTGGCCAAGGCTGGTGATTGGGGAAGACAGGCTCAAATGACTGGCAGCTACACAAGACACGGGCCCCAGAGTGCCACTATGCTCATAATAAACATGGGAGCTGCTATGTTGTATGTCAGTATTTTTAGCAATCACTGGACACACAAAACAAATTACATTTAAATTAACAAAGTCAAACCATAGACTGTATGAAGGGTTGGACTAAAAGAGTGTTACCTATAGCGTTTGGCTCAATTGAAGCTCACAATGCTCGTTATAGGAGCAGATTTGGAGCCAAATTCCATATTACAAACAGGAATTTATTTAGAGTGGGTTAATATGAACACTTTCAGACCAAAATAACAAGGATCACTGCAGTAGTTGCAGAGATAGATGACAGTTTTTCAATGAAATAATAGGAGAATATGCAGAAGATTTAGTTTTATCTAGTTAAAGTTCATTCTATTTTTGTATGGGATTGTTTGGGAATACGTACGTTAACATCTTGGACAAATACTCACTTAAATGCACACACACTAACAACTACACAATATTGTCTTTTATATTGCAGGTTAGTCAATACACTTTTGCCATGTGTAGCTACAGAGAAAAGAAGGCAGAACCTGTTGAGTTACTCCAACTGGACGGCTACACGGTGGACTACACTGACCCACAACCAGGTAAGAAGAGAAGGAGTGAAAATGACAACAGTTATAGATATTGAAATACCTGATGAAGCTGAACATAATTTCTGCTGTTGGGTTTATCTAGGTCTGGATGGAGGCCGAACCTTCTTCAATGCTGTGAAAGAGGGAGACACTGTGATCTTTGCCAGTGATGACGAACAGGACCGGATCCTATGGGTGCAGGCCATGTACCGGGCAACGGGCCAGTCACACAAACCGATCCCTCCCACCCAAGTCCAGAAACTCAACTCCAAAGGGGGAACTGCTCCGCAACTCGATGCACCAATATCTCAGTTCTGTAAGTTGTCTTTTATATTTCACTTTTATTCAGGTTTTGTTCTAGTAAATGTTTATAATAATAATGAGGCATAACTCTTGTATAGCGCTTTTTTTTTAATACTCAAAGAAGACACAAACAAGGACAGTCAGAAGAACAAAAAAGTTAAAGGTGCTTTCATAACATTTCTAGTTGAGGGTCTACTGTTTATCTCCATGGAAATGTTATTGCTTTGTCTAGAATGCAAATCTTAATACAAAGCAGTAACATCTCCAAAAAGAAAAGTTGCACAGTGCACCTCTAATGAATGGTGATTTTAAAGAGATGAGTTTTCAGGGCTTTTTTTAACATGGGGGCTATGGCGGAGTCTCTGATGTGTCCCTCCAGAGCTTGTGTTTAGTCCTGGTGGAGATTACAAGTTAACACCATAAAAAAGGCAAGGACTCATGTTGTTATGTGACTAGAATCATAAATGGCAAATCCCATTACTTTAGAGATGGTTTACAATTGACAAAAAGTACAATAACATTTTAGAATGCGAAGGATAGCAGATTAGCTCTGTCTATTTAGATATTTCATAAAAGACTGAGATGCCAGATTGTTTGAGACCTGTAGCGGAGTAGTAGTGATTGGTAACAGCTCAAAGTTGCGGACCAAATAGCAGATTTAGTGATGCTTCAACGGAGGATGTGATTTTTAAGGAAAGAGGATACAGAGATTAGGAAAACATGGATTCTTCCACCTGACTTGCTGTAGTTAGGAATGGTACAAGATCTCATGAGACAAATTGTCACAAGATGAGGAAAAGCACACATGACAAAAATGAAAAAAGCAGTACTAGAATGGAAACAAAAATATGAAATCAAATAAATAAAAAACTGTGAGGCCAAAATTGGAAACTGAATTGCACAATTGAAGAATTATGTAAAAATCTCCTCTTGTCTCGCTCTCATCTCAGGAGACCCAATCTCCTGTGTTGTCTTGTCTTGTGGAAATTGTGTCTCGTCCCATTCCGAGCTGAAGTGGCTCCGACAAAAGAAACTGCTGAAAGAAAAAACAAAAAACAAAACTGAATAATGTCTACATATGTGCATTTGTCACTATCAACTAGCTGGTCAGAGAGTGTTTTCTTTTAAACTGGAATAAGCAGGAGAAGATGCACAAAGGAATATTCAGTTTTATCTAATTAAAGCTTATTATTTTTTGTATGCGATTGTTTGGAAATAGACTAGAATCTAGACTAGAATCATATATGACAAACCCCGTTACTTTAGAAATGGTTTACAATTCACGAAAAGTGCAATAGAACTCTGCCTTGCTGAGACTTCACTTCCTTCATGAAAGTGTTGCTTTTTGTGCTAGACTTGGTAGTTATTGACTTGAGGTGGCGGTGTCAGCTCAAACTTCCACCTTGCAGTGTAAAATAAATATGTCAACATCTAGGTCAGGGCCTGCCACACAGCGCACAGCTTTCTACCTCTTGTCCTGGATTTCTATTTTATGAAAGGTGCCAAAAGACTTTTTCTTATAACACATTTGACAATTGCCTTTCTCAGATGATAGAAATATGGAGCAATATGAAGCACCCCCTTAAAATGTCTTTATGATTAATAGATAATATGCCGAAAATCATTTCTAATCATTAATTATAAGCTTTTTTTTTTTTTTTTAACATACTGTCATCAATACAACAACGGCTCAGGTTCACTATAGCAGTCAATTCATCTGAAGCGACATCAGAGGTTGGGTCTTTAATAGAGAGGTTTACAGCCAATGCTCTACCAGTAAAAACATTTGCCTTGGAGCAGAGTTCAGATTTTGAAGGACAAAATGTGATTATTTTGACTATTCTTAATTGGCACTCTGTATTGTTTAGTTGAAATGAATATTGTAAGGCAATTGTGTAAATTTTAGTATGGAAATTGACTAATTTTTGTTATATTATAAATAACATTTATACATATTTAATAAATAAATACATTAATAATAATAACATTTTTAGTTGCAGTAACATTTTCAATTGCTTTTGCTTGTGCTTAATTCTCACACATTTTATTTTATTTTTTGTCACCATGCATGAACCATGTGACATTACATTTGACCACTGCAAACCAATAATTGTAGATATGGTATGTAACCATTGTATAAAGCTTGTATTGAAAATATGACAAGAAAAAAGAAAAAAAGAAAATATTATATTTTATTTTTATTATATCAAAATCTGATCTCAACCCAGTGCAGTGTTCTGTCACATTTCAATACCAGACTCCATGTCATGATGGTTATTCTCACAGTGTCCAGAGGCCCAGGTGCACTGGACTGGGGGGGTAAAGGGTACTGTTTACCCGGGGGCCCAGTCGAGGGAGTTATGATACATATTTTGAAATGCGATATATTCTTGAAGTAAACATAGATGATAAACGATAATATTGGAACCAAACCATCAAGTAGAATTATCATCAAAAAAATATTCTACATGTACAATATTGTTAGAAATATGAGCTGCTATAAATAAATAATAGAATTAAACATTTTAGTAGTTAGTTTGTATCTATAATGAGTTATAAAATATCATAACTCAACCTTCTACAGCGCATATCTCATCATAGTACAGAAAAAAAATAAAAATGTTCCCATTAGTACAAAGAAAGTACCCATGATAAATACTGACTCCCAGAAAGTATTGTTCCATCTGTCATGTATATATGTATATATGTATATGTAAAGCCCTTTTCACAGATAAAAATCACCAAGTACTTTACAGAGAGCAGGTACACCACAAAACAATAAGTAAAATAGAGTCGTTGGACTCAAGTTAACCAAAACTTTTTAAAAGAATCCACAGAGTCGGCCACACTGAAAGTATTATGGTCCAATACTCAGGTCCTTCTCGAAGTATGTAATGTGCATTTTTCATATAGTCATATAATGTGGGCCTGCCAAGATGGCTTGTACTCAAGGCCCAGAATTTTTGTACACACCCCTGCTTAGTCCTGGTTCTGCTCATGTGTTGCTTTGGTCTGTGCTTGTACAACACTGCTTTGTTATGTGTCTGTGGCTTTGCTGTGTGTCTTTAAAGCTACATTGTGTAACTTTTATGGTGGAGGGTTCGTCAGATGCTTTTCTTCATGGAAATGTTGTTTTGTCTGGAATGTTTCAAAATATGGTATTAAACTTATCTGTCTTCATGGGGACCAAACCTGACCAGAATTAATTTAATTTGTCTCAATCATTAATAACACAGAACATGATGAACTATAACATTTAGCAAGTCACAATGAGTTTGAGAAGAAGCAGAATGAAGTCAAAGGCTTATTCTGGTTCTACTCACTTAATCATTTTCAACTTTTGTAGCTGGACTGGATGATAAGTTCTCATATCCTACCACTACACTTTTAATACCTCCTCTTCTTGTACATGTTTATTCATTCTCCTCGTCTTGTATCACTTTGGCCTAATTGTTTTGCACTTTCGTAATAAGAGGGATGTTTTAGTTACAACATGAGATTAAGAGTGCACACAACAGATGGCCTGCTCTGAACATGTCAGTGTTAACACATATCTATGTACTTAGATACTTAAAGTGGCAGTTAGCTGAGTTGGAATATAAAACAAGCTACCAGTGTAACAAATAGTTGTGAAAATGACCCAAAAGTAAAACATCAAATTGAAAAATATAAAATAAAAAAAATCTGTCAGAGCACCTACCATGCATCTGTGTAAGTGAATTTGTCAGGGGAGCTGTTTTTGACACAACCCCTGGAGCCCCACTGAGCCCCAGCAGCTGGTAATTACCAAGTTAAGAGTGCCAGGATATGAATAATACAGTGTGGATGCAGCACAATTAAATCAGACACCAATCAGTCACTGTTACCAAATAACTACTTGCTAGTTCACACCTGGATCAGTGCAATGAATATGATCATAATGTCTCCCCCTCGTACACACACCACAACTTTAGACAAAATCAGCACTGTCACAACAAAGAGAAACAAAGAGCACTCTGTGGAGCTGCTCAGGTTCTGCTAGAACATTAACATAAAATAAAAGTCAGCAAGGAAAGAATCTACTTGATTATTAATGTTTTAAATTTCTTGTAGAATACTGGCACTAACATTGGGGAAAAATGCGTCTTAGAGATAACAACTGTAAGTAATTATAAAACCAAACCAAACCAAAAATCCCACAACATTAGACAAAATGGCCAAACTGTTTATGTTCTAATTTTTTGGTACTTTGGTTCTCAAGATGAATGAGGCTGCTGAAATCCAGTTTGTTTAAAACTAAATGGACTCTCTCTGATCTCAGTCCTCACTACATAAATCTGCAGCACCAGCCGCCAATCATGAATCAGTGTTTTTACAGCCCCTGAATGTATTTTTTTTTAACTGTAAGAGTTTAAAGAACTTTAAAGGAGACTATTTGAAAACTGAATAGAGGCAAATAAACACTACATAAAATAATACACATTAAGAATCTTATATATACACAGAATATTATGGATTTTGTATTTTAGCCTCAGACATTTTCATAACATTTTCTGACCATTTAATATTCAGTAACTTGTACTGTCAAATATTCATGTACTATTTAAAAAACAGATCAAGTTTATTAATAGTGTCCTTCTTTTGTTCCTTGGGCCTCTATAGTTTGACACTTGCTATGATGTATACAGGGTACTTGTGTGGTCAGTTGGGGTTGAGATGGAGTCCACCCCTCAGCCCAGCGGTCTGCCTCTGCTGGATCTATAAATGAATAGTGTGCATCAATCATGTTTGGGCAGAACCTCGTACACCAGACACGGGACACGGGAGCGAGTGTCACTGTGAGTTACTGTCCAGCTCACGCCTCCGCTCACACATCAAGCAGACCTGACAGACCACCAGCCACTGACCAAAGGGGCACAGCAATGTCACCTTTTTAGATTTTGTAGAGGGGAGGGTGGGCGTGACTTACAAGCAGCTCGCAGCGGAGTCCTGTTCTTTGTTTGCGTTGGTGATTGACAGCTGGGGTGTCTGAACGCGGCAGTCAAGAGGACACTGGCTGACAATGTTCTGTACAATGGTGTAGGGTCTGTGTCACTTCTCTCTGAATCACAGAGGATGGGGCTCACCTGTACACATGTAGTTGCAGGCTGCCATTTTCACTGTTTTCAAATGATCTATAGCTTGTATAGGCCTGTCACGATAACACATTTTGAAGCGTGATATATTGTTAATGTAAATACAGACAATAAATGATAATATTGAAACTTAATTTATGCCACTGATCACCCAAGAGCAGGCTTAAACCACAAAACTATACTATTTGAACCATATTGAGATATGGTTAAAAATCATGAGCTGCAATAAAGAAACAGCAGAATGAAAAACATTAGTGCTTCAGTTTGCATCTGTAATGAGTCTTCTACAAAACTTTTACACCTTAAATCTTATCATATAACCCAAAAATAACCAAAAATGTCCCACTTTTACAAACTCAATGTACACACGATATACACTGACTCCAGAAAATATTGTTCCAGCTTTCATATATTGAATGATAAGTCAATATAGTAATCATTGTGACTGGTCTAAGTGGTATCTTAACTCCGATAACTTTCACATGGGTGAAATATGCAAATTTTGCTGGTATTATTTATATTGTTGTTGTTTAGTTGTATGACTAAAAGCTGAGAAATGCATTGGCATTTGGAACTAGACCTTGTTTTGTAAAAATCTAGAAATTTAGACAGTTTGGATAGCTTCTGCACAACCTCTGCCCCTGTGCTCCTGTGTTGAGCCCTGCTGAATGTATTTAGAACCTGCCCTGTTTTGATGTTTGTGTACCTGAATTGAACTGTAAGCTATTTTGTATGCAAATGGACACAAGAATTAAAAAAAATATTGTGACATGATTCTACACAATCCTTTGACCTCCATAATCACTCTTGTGTATGTGGTTGGGGCAGATGCTGACCGGGCGCAGAAACACGGCATGGATGAGTTCATTTCGGCCAATCCCTGTAACTTCGACCACGCCTCTCTGTTCGAGCTGGTGCAGCGCCTCACTCTGGACCACAGACTCAACGACTCCTACTCATGTCTGGTGAGAACTATCAAAGCATAGATATTTGATATTTTAGATAGTAGAGATAGACCAATATATTGAGGTGATTTTTGTACTTTTTTGAGTATTGCTGTATATTTTTGTTTTAGCTGACCCGCTGCCTAAAGAATATCCATCATCATTGGCCATAAAAAAAAAACAACAACAACATACTAGTCAACAGTGCTTTAGCACATAGTGTGGACATGAATAAAACTATGCCTGTGTGTTCTAAAAGGCAGCCAATTCATCAGAGTGAGCCAAAATGCAACTGTAAATCTGTTGTTTAAGGTTCAAGTGTACCCTTAAGTGTAATTACTGGAGAAATTACAGAAATATCACTTTATACCTCTTCTTTCTAAAATAAAACTTTATATTTTTTGTCCCTGGGTGGATAATTCTGTCATCTGCATTTAACCCATCCCTCTCCCAGTATTTGACATACATACTGCGTTTGTATGTGCAGGGCTGGTTCAGTCCTGGGCAGGTGTTTGTTCTGGATGAGTACTGTGCGCGTTATGGCGTCCGGGGCTGCCATCGTCACCTGTGCTACCTGAGCGACCTGCTGGAGCGCGCCGAGAACGGAGCCATGATTGACCCCACCCTGCTCCACTACAGCTACGCCTTCTGTGCCTCCCATGTATACGGTAACAGGTATGCTTTCATCTCCTGAGGTCTCACAGGTCTTACCCCCAGACAGAAAATGCCTATTTAGGAGGCAACTTTAGTGGGTCTGGCAGGTTAGACTTAGCATTTCACTAAAACATAGTTAACATCATTATATTTTAGATTTTAGATTAGATTTAATTTAAAAACATGTTTTTCTACTTTTTGTTTATTTATTTATGTATTTGTTTATTTATTTTGTGTGATTATTTTATGTGCGATTCGAACATTATTTTATTTATTTTTAGAGGTAATTCCATAACCATTACGTAGCAACCATAATTATGGGTCTAGATTACACAATAGTTACGATTAGACTCATGCAAATATATGTCAACCTCTTTATTTTGTTAAATTAATGTTTAAATTGCCAAAAAATTTGCCTTCATGCAAAAACTGTCCCTGCGTTTTGGATGGGAATTTTAGTGTTGTTGACATAGGTAGACGCATTAAGTTTTTAGACCATATATTTTTGCACTTTTCTTTTCAACTCTTTTTCCACACAGTTACTTGTAAGATAAATGTTTGCCACCTACACTATCTCGCCAAATTAAGAAATAATTTAAAAAAATGCTCTACAGTATGGTATTTAATTTAACTGTCTCCCTGAAGACGCATCAACAGGCCAAGTTATAGGTCAGATCTGTGCAGAAGTGACAATTAACAATTAAAAACTCCTGTAATTGAATACATGCAAGATATATTTGTTGCCATACTGTACTGTGGAATATCCCAGGCAACACAATAACATCAGCATGGAGACAAAAACATGGCAGATGGAAGAAAAGTTACACAATGCACATTTAAGCTTTTTTATGCTTCTTCAAAAGCATGCATTATTTTAAAACTGTTTTTGTTTTGCTTACCTTTTTCTTTTCCTTATTTTTTATTTCCCTTTATTCACCTGTCACTCCTCTTTCCTGGTCATTTTGATAAACGTACCTCCCTACACACCCCTGCATGGTCCCATAGTCAGCGGCTGCCTGAACTGTTAAACTGGCCCGTATCTGAGGCCGAGCTCAGACAAGCCCTGTACCCCTCTGCCCCCGAGAGTCCTCCCCCTAGTGGTAAGAGAGAGCTCAGAATTATTGAGTTCATGAAGAGAAAGGACTTCAGGGCTCAAATGTGGGCTGGGGCCAAAAGGTAAGTTTGGCTCAGATTCACTGGGCTGTACCAAACTCAATACCATCGTACTTGTTTTATTTCAGTAATAACAAATGCCCAGATGTTCATTGCACTTTAAGAGCACTTTGATTTTGTAGTTGATTTTTGATTTTTTGATTATTTTTCCCTCTCCACTAAAATGTTCAGCAAACTATAGTAAATGATCTAAACTGAAAAAAATGTATTCACTGATCATATTTGACCCATTGGCCATTGAGAGATTTTTTTATAAGATGAAACAAACTGTTGTATTAAACATGCAGCCCCAACATTTAACTTGATGTCACTGATTTCACATCATCAGCACTGCATGGCCCTCTGCTACACTTTGGTCCCTGTGACTGAAGTGAACAGATTTTGAACTTTGAACTTCCAGTTTGCAGTATATATTGCTTGTGATTATATTTTCTTTAATTCTGTTGATTACATTGTGGCCTGCATAATTACAATTACAATATGATGAACTCTGAATAATCTTGAGATCACTACGCGAGCTGTCAGCTGTTAAATATACTAGAACTGAGGTACCTGATTTTCACTAGTATTCACATTCATGAATTTCCTGGCCATTAGCACTGCTTTATAACAGCTTTTAAAGACAGATAAGTGGACCACCCATGCACATTTAATCAGCTCTCATCCCAAAGCGTCATATGGTGACACACACGGTTTGAGCTGATAAAATGTTAGAAATACAACTTTAAGATATCAGGTATGCATTGCCTAACCACATGCATTGTGCTCTGTGTTGGGAAGTAACTGAATACATGTAATGAGAATATGTATTCTGAAGACCAAGTTTGGGTAACTGTATCTGATACAGTTTTGTATGTTTTTTTTTTAAACAAATTACACATTATGATTTTTGATCTCATAATTTAGGCTTCAAATTGCACATAATCAGTGAGAAAAATTTAATTTTACTTCTCCAATGTGTGATAGGAAATGCTTTGAAAACAGAAACAAGTATTAAGCTGTTTTTAAAACTATGTTGCATTTTTACACTATAAAATAATCGCAACACAATGTAAAAGTTTTCTAAGTAATCAGAATACAGTACTCTGATCTTACTATGGGACAGTATACATTACAATATACATTTTAGTGTGGGGTATTAAGTGTTCTGTAACAAAATACATTTTCAAAGTATTCTTCCCATAGTTGTGCTCCACCTGAGCTCGCGCAGCTCTTGAGCAGTTAGTATAATCGTCTTTTGTGCAGGTCTCGGTACAGTGCAGTGCTGTCATTTCTTTGCTTTGGTGACATTTGTGTTGGTTTGTGACATGGCTCATCGGCCCCGCTTAAATGTTTACATCCAGTCTAATCTGCAGTGATGTGTCCGCACGTCACATGTGTCAAGCTCACAGGCAGCCAGTCATCTGTGGGCGTGGAGGAGCTAACACAGAGCATGGCGGGCCACTGGAGAGCAGAGGTCAGAGGTCAGACCCCTCAGTCCACATCATTCTATCCATCTCTGCATCAGTCCATCACTCTTGACAAACAGGCACTGGGGCCTTTTCTGATCAGGATGGACATGGACAGCTCCAAGAGGTAGACCAAAAGAGACACTTCATCTGGGGAACAGACTGAGTTCCACAAAAGCTCAACTTAATCAAGTGCAAGTTGACTAACAAAAAGTTCTTGGTTTATAATTAGTACAGTGTGGACTTTACATTATCATGAAACAAGAGTAGTATTGGTTATATTTTATGATGTATCTTTGTGTATTCACATGGATTGCTCAGGCCTGTTCTTGTAAGTGACCAATAATGTGACTGTAATATGTAATAATGTCAATATTATTATGAACATGTCACAGAAATCAACTCATTGGGTGATTTTACCCAAGTGTAAGACTAACTTAGTGTAGCACGGTTTGGTGAATAAGTTATTATTATTATATGATATTATAGTAAGAATTATAATAATAACCATCATTCTAAGTTTCATGATCAGTTTACAGTTTCCATTAGTTTTTGTTAGTTCACTGCACTTTATTATAACATATAACGTATTGAGCCAATACACAGTTTTCTGTCCATTCAGTATGACATGTTACTCAGACCTGGGCTCTCCAGACCAGCTGTCACGCCTGGAGGTCAAGGCCTGACAGGTTGTTATGAGCGACGGCTGGATGTCTCTGTTGTAAATACTCCTTGTCCCCACCCCGCCCCCACCCAAGACATGAATAGCCTGCTGGCTCGGAGCTGCTACAAGTTTGACTGTGGCCCAGTTGGGGGCTAACGTGTCAGGCTTTGACTGCTGTCCAGAGCACTGTCATCTTGGTATGTCCTGGTGTTTGGAAATCAAATGTCGTCTCACATTATTAGTGATAATAAGTGTAATGTGATAAGGTTATTGAGCATTTTCTATTTGCATCTTATTTAGTCAATTATATTTTATTCTTGCTTTGTTCAAATTGAATCAGTTAACAGTGAAAATAAGCAAATGGAAAAATGTCCCACAGGGCTTGCCTTGTCCTTAGATCCTCCTTCTTTGCTAGGTGAACAACCACATTGCAGAATGTGTGTAGCTGTGTGCAGGCCTGATAGCTATCCATTTGTATATAGACTTAAAGCCTGTAAAGGTATGGTCGAGTCATTGTTGGGGCATCTAGATAGCAGGGGATAAATGAGAAGGAAACATTCAGCTGTTGGAATATATTTATACATACTGTGACAAACCAAAGAATCATTTTCATCCTAAATAAATATACAAACATTTCTCTGTAAATACAACCAGGGCAATGTTTATATTTCCATAGCGTTCTTGTGTTTAATGTGCCTGCAACTAACAGTCAGCCTGGACACATTTGTTTGATTGTGTTGCTGTAGATAACGCCCTGTCAGAGCTGTGAAAGAGTATGTACTGAGTCTGAAGGTAGTGTCCTGGCATGTGTGGCTCTGATGGCTCATTTGTTGGCTATAGTCAGTGGAGTTGTAAGGTCATTAGGTCAAACATCAAACATGAGGAAGCCGCCATGAACACGCACGTGGATAGACGCCCTGCAGCCTTTAATTAGTGTGACATTTTCCCCTGTGTGTTTTGTCACCATGGGAAAGGTGAGGCCAGTGCTTCTGTGCTCTTGTACAGTGTGACTGCCATTACATCCAGTTATTATCATACTAACTACTGACCTTTTCAAGTGTAAATAAAAGCTCCGTTATGTTTTTGTTGTTTTTAGTTCAAATGCTCATTAAGATGGACAACTTATCAAGTACACTTTGGTTGAGCATTTTGTGCCTTTGTTGAGGCCTAGTATAATACACAAACTGTGCAAGTGGAACTGAAAAGTGGAAAAATGAAATTGAAGCAAGTCTTTACAAGTGTGGTAAAAAAAACAAAAAACAAAACAAACAAAAACAGCTAACTGGTGAAATCTTTCAACTGAAGCGTGTGATTAGGCAATGCATTCAACAATATATATTCTCTTATGTAATAAAGAAGGCAAAGGGGACTATTGGGAATAAACCTCACAAACACACACATACACACAAACAAACACATAGCACGATGCACACACACACACACACTGCAGCTCTGTGTCCACTGAAATGACATGTACAAGGGGGTGTCAGGGGGGTGTCATGTCTCCGGCCTCTAATCATGCTGTCATGGCGACCAGTCCAGCGCCTCCTCTGTCACATGCACTCTGCTCACGCTCCATCCAGGCCGCACCATGTCACAAAGCATCACCGCACCCCACACCACCCAAGACTGGCATTATAGCTGCCATACCATAAGCACCCAAATCTTTAAAGTGCCCTTATTACTCAAAATTGAATTACAATGTTATTACCTCTTCAAAAACATGCCTAGAGTTGTGTTTTGTTTCATTCACACATTCACATAATCCTGCATTATTAGTCTGTCTACATCTCCAAAGCTCAACATACTATGTTCCACCTTGTGATGTCATGGCAGCTACCTTTTACTTTTTTACTTTTAGTTCATTAGAGATTGACAAATGATTCTAGTGAAGGTGTATGGAGTTTAAAAACACTGTGGAGCATGACATCATAAGGTGGAACAGAGTGTTTTCAGTTTGAGAACTCAGCCTAAATATGCAGAGTTTGTGTATAAAACATGTGTGAATGAACAAAACACAACTGCAAGTATGCTTTTGATGAGGAAACAACATTATAACAGAAAACACCTTTGTGTGAGCCATTTAAAGATTTGCATTGTCTTAAAAACATGAAAAACAGAACTAGTTCATTTTACTTAGTTTACTTATGCATACCTTATGCATTCCTGTGGTGAGCTTTATGGGGTTTATTTCCATAGAGGCCAAAGGGCGTTTTCCCATAACAGCAAAGCTAACAGCAACTATCATGCTAATGTGCACTTCCTGATTACGGGACAGTCCTTTCTAATTAGATGCAGACAACAGCATGTAGCAGACTTAGTCTGACCTCAAAAGCTGCTTATACAATGTATCTGTAGTGGGGCAAGATACAATTGGCTCAAATACATGGGAGAAATTGGGTATAAATTTTTTTGAAATGGGGTGCAGCCATTAAAAAAAAAAAAAAAAACCTGTTTCAAACACTTGACAGAACTGTTTGCTAACTGCTTTCTCTTGGTAATTTTCAGACCTGACGGGATTGGAACCGTAACCGTGGAGGAGAGGGACCGCTTTGAGGAGATTAAAGAGAGACTCCGAGTCCTGCTGGAGAACCAGATCACACACTTCAGGTGCAGTATCTGTGCTGTAATCTCTCAGTTAGTTTAAAGATGACTGAAAAGTTGAAGACATTTTAAACTTAAACTTTACAAACAACTTGAATCCTCTTCAATTCTTCAAACTTAGTCCAATTGACTAATGTGAAAACCTTTTTTGCTTGGGTGAACTGCTACTTGAACGTCTGTCTGTGTCTTTGTGTCTATTGCAAACTCACCCTCATGTGTACATGGGATACCAGCACAGTACCAAAAACACTACTGATATTGAATGAATATTTAATGCAGTGCCACTATAAACGCTACGACTGTGTTCTTTTAACAATTTTTTATTGTATTTATGAACATAGCTCTATGTTTTGTCAGTCTAGATTCATTAATGTAGGAATAGGTACCAAAAAAGTTACTATTAGTTAATAATAAGTTACTATTATGCATACATAATTTCTGATACTCAATGGTTGTAGATATTGCTTTCCTTTTGGACGGCCGGAGGGAGCATTGAAGGCCACTCTGTCTCTGCTTGAACGGGTAAGTCACTCACAAACTAATGTGAATAAAACTGTGATACGGAAATGTCCAGCACATTTTTACACATAAATACAGTGATAGAAAGAATATTTTGAAAATGTATTTAGTTACAGAATATTGAATACCTGCATTAGAATATATTTTGTAATATATCTGATACAAAGTTGAGTCGGAGTACTATATTTTGAATACTTAGAATACTTTCACGCAGGATTGCATTTTAATTCTAGTGTAAACTTGAGATTAAAAACATCATTATATTTCTTTCACCATTTGTTCTGCATTTATTTATCACTGATCAGAGAAAGAAAAATCACATGCACTCTCTTTTACATTTTTCTCACTGATTCTGTGCAGTTTGAAGTCTAAAGTAACTGTACCAGTATACAGGCACTCAAAAAATACGTATTCTCAGTGTGTGTATTCAGTTACTTCCCAACACTGCATAAATACTCATACTTAGAGGAACAACACATACATTATTTAAAAAAAAAAAAACTCATAGAGATAAAATTGTACAGGAGGTAGTGACCGTGACAGTGAGGTTGCAAGGCGTCTTCGTGCACAGAGCCTATTTCAAAACCCAAAGCATTAACTGTGTGTCTTTGAAGGTACTGATGAAGGACATAGTGACCCCAGTTCCTCAGGAGGAGGTGAAGGCCGTCATCAGGAGATGTTTGGAACAGGCTGCTCTGGTCAACTACCAGCGCCTGTCAGAGTACGCCAAACTGGAAGGTATGCTACTCTCTCTTGAATCTTGGAATATTGGACCAAATTTACATAGTGTGTACTTTCTGAAGGTGTAACCATGCAAAGTCTGCTCTGTGATTTTAACAGTACAGAAAGACATATAACACTAGAAACATGTTTAAGTGTTGTTTCTAATTTTACAATAAAAAACAACTTAATTTAACTTAATTTTTTTTTTTTTGCAGTTTAAACTTATGTTATTTAAGATGAGCTGAAAAAGTAACAGGATTTGAAAACTGGCCACAAAAAAATTAAAGGCCCATAGATAAACTATACACATTCTGAATACTCTGTGTCTGCTAGTTTATGGTCAGTGAATAATAGTAAAAAAAATGGAACCGTACATATTTATAAGTGACATGAGCATGCGCTAATTCACTCTCTATTTAATTTATCAAATGGATAATTTGTATATGTATTTTTTCTTCTCAGGCTACTATTAGAATATTATTTTTGAGTGAGTAAAAATGCATTCAATGACTCTTCCTTCTGCCTCAGCCTCCTGCCTTCTCCTCTTCCTCCTTCCATAGCCACTCTTTTCTCTACCTACTATTTTTATCTGCTGCAGTTTAAACACAGTGTGTCTGGATTGTCCGGTGATTTGTTGTTGTACAGTTTCAGTCAAAGTTCTATCAACGAATTTCACATATGCTTGGGAAACTCATTTTAGCTTTTCTTTACTTGGATCTTTCTTATGTGGTGGTTATTAAAGAAAAAAGTATATTTACATTATTTTGCTAGTTCACTACATCTGCATCAGAAGAACAGACTAAGGGTAAAATGCCTTAATCTGTGCCTGATGATTTGACTCTTTCCTTACTCCGGATCATCCCCAATCTAAACGAATGGTTAATCCAACCACACCCAATTCCCAGTCTCACCTCAGCTCCCAGTGGTGTACCGCCTTAGAAAAGGGATTTAAAGTGGAATCATGCATGTTATAAATTGGTATGTTAAATTGATATTACACTATTTTCTGTTATAATGTTGTTTCCTCATCATAAACATACCTGGAGTTGTGTTTTGTTTCATTCACATGTTTAACACACAAACCCTGCATATTTAGTTCTTCTCTCAAACAGAAAACACTCTGTTCCACCTTTTGATATGATGTGGTTATATTTTTTTAATATTTGAATTTCATACACCTTTACTAGAGAGTCATTTGGACAATTTCAGCCCTGGAATTGAGAATCTCTACTGAACAAAAAGTAAAAGGTAGCTGTTAACTTGAAAACTCACTACATGACATCACAAGGTGGAACAGAGCATTTAAATCTTTGGAGATGTAAACAGAATAACAAAGCAGGATTACTCAAACGTGTGTATGAAACAAAGCACAACTCCAGGTATGTTTTTCATAAGGTAACAATATTCTAACATGTCTTAAAGCTCACAGGAGTAATTTTACGTAATATAGAACCTTTAACTTTTTAAGGAACCTGGTATCAGTGAGAATTGGAAGATATTTAAAACCATTTATTAATATCAAAACAAAAAAAAACCTGGATTGTGCACTTTTATAAAAATGTGCTAACTATTGTGAGTAATAACTGTTAGACTAACACAGTTCATTTTCTGGCATTTTAATTAAACCCCTGAAACCTGGGTTAGAGCTACACTAACATGGTGTTGTTTGAGAAACTATTTTCCTGCAGGATTTTCTTACACATGTTCACTTCATGATGATTTTCAACATTCACATAAATATGAAGCTGCAGTTACAATCTGATCTTACTGGGCTCTGACCCGGCCTCTTGCATGCCTCGGTATTCTCCCTCTTTCTCTGTAGGGAAAAAGAGGGAAATGTACGAGCATCCTGTCTTCTGCTTGGCGTCTCAAGTGATGGATTTAACCATTCGTGAGTACCCTCCTCATTGAGCTGTCAGTCTCTCTTTGCACCACGACCAGCCGTCAGCTCTCTGTCGTCCTCGTGGTGTCTGCTGCTCGCTGGACTCTCCAGGCTTCTGTCCTCTCTGTCTGTGTGTCTGCCACTTGAATGCATTTTTACTTTGCTTGTGTGGATATCCTGTTGATCTACGTGACGAACAAACACATACATAGCACACTAAGAAGTGTTTTTGTAAAAATAATTTGAACTTGAAATTGATAGTTTAAGAGGAACATGTGTTCATAGTTCAGTGTTGGATATATTTCTGATATAATAGTTAATATATTCAATTACAAATGCAATTTTAAACCCTTTAAATCGTTATTGTCGCTCTAGATATTGTGAGCAGATATTTTTAAGTTTGGGTGAAAATGGTGTGTGCCATTATATTTATTATATAATTTTTTTTTTTACATTTTTGGTGTTTGGGGAAGAGGTTCTACATGTGTTTGGCTAATAATTCTGAAATCAAATACACAATCCATGTGAATGTAATAATTTGTGTTTGAATATGATAATTTATACAATGTATACAGGCTATACTGTATGTTATAATGTGCCCTTATGTCCCCATGCACCTTTTTGTACCAAATGAACAGTAACAAGTATTTTGACACATTCAGGAGTCAGAAATCTAAGAATGATAACGTGTCTCTTTTCTCCCTTCTCATCTGTACTGAAGTGATCTGCTTTTGACTAAACTTTGTTCATTTTTAAACTCTCTCTTAGAGGAAAGAGTTATTTAAAGTGGCGGCTCCAGGTGATACTACTGTTTGTCTAACATTTATTCTGACTCATGTCCAGTCGTCCTAAAGTCATAGTTGGGCTTTCTTTGTGTTGTTATAAATGTAGTTATCTGCTATTCACAGGTGATCAGGTGTCAGTAGTTACTGGCCACAGTCTGTATTTTTCAGTTCAACTAAAAAGTAATTCATTTTACTTGGCTGTGGATCATCCAAACGTTCAGTGTAACTACATATACTTTTGAGTGTGATCAGAGATGAAGGACAGAAAACTAAAAATACATATTTCTGACATTTCTGACGATGAAATGGTCCTTACACTGTCCTGTGCTCAGACCTGATTCATCTGACTGGAACTGCACTCCCTCTCATCCTTCAGCATCAGTCAGAGTCAGACATGCCTCAGAAATCCCAACTATCACTTTAGCCATGCCACAGAGCCTCCCACAACATCCCTGGGACATTCCAAGACCCTCGGCTGCACTACAGGGAATGTCCACAATGTTGTGTGGCCGTGATGTCTCTAAAACTGTGTTTTTCACTGCTGATTCAGTGAATAAACTGGTGCTACTGAGGCCTGCTAGCTAAAATCTACTTCCTGCTTTGGTAGATTGCATTGTGACAACTATAAATAGTTGATTTTAAGAGCAACACTTTCCCAGTGAAAATCACTTTGAAATCAACCCAACAGAGCCCAGCATGAATGAGACAGCTGCATGTGTGTGCGTTTTACTGACTGCTCCTACCAGTGCAGTGCCCATAAGTCATTATGTGTGGAATGTTACAACATTTTAATGTTTGTTTGTCTTTTGCTAGTCAGCGTTTATTTTCATATATTTCTACAAGTTGGCTCGTGACATTCAGTTAAATTCTAAAATATTTCTCAACCAATATCACAAAAACCTAATTTATTTCAACTAACATGTTTAAGAAGTATTTATTGGTAGCAGTAAAATAACTGGCCAATATTATTCAAATATTTGTTTTACAATACTATTGACCTGATATGCACTTAAATGCTGTCTGACAGTGATATTAAGTCATATTAAAATGACTTTTACTGCTGCTACAGGCATTACTGCAAAGCCAAGGCTCTTCTGTGTGAACACTAGCTTGTGCATGTGTATGTAATATCAACTATAAGGCATTCCCCACACCAGAGACAGGTGTCACATTTTATGGAGAATTGTTCTGATTATGGTTATGAATGACTAAATCATTGTGTTTTTTTGAAGCCCACATCTATTTGTTTGTTGATACTGTATTTGTTCTGAGGCTGCATGCTTACAGTCCCAACACTCATCCAAAAGTAACAGATGAAATCAGGATTTGGAAGTCACTGCCTTAACTGACCCTTGCACTTTGTGCTGCAGAGAATGTAGGGCGCTTAGTCACTCCGGCCAAAAAACTGGAGGACACCATTCGTCTGGCTGAGCTGGTGATCGAGGTGCTACAGCAGAATGAGGAGCACCATGCTGAGGTGAGGGCTGTGCTCTTGTACAACACAAACACGCTCACATACACAAGAACAAGGGTCAACAAGCACATATCAAGTGTACAAATGTACAAAGCATACCCCTCAGGAACACCAATAATGGGATTTTCATAAGCTTCTATAAATAATATTGTGCAAGTTGGAAATTGCAAACGTGTGTTTTCACTGCTATGAATACATCATTGTATGTTGTTCCACAACAGAACCCCATATTCTACACTTTTAAGTTGAGTTTTCAGGCAGAATGAGATTCTGTAACAATTGCTTTGGCTGTCCCCTGTAGAGATGTGCAAATCAGAAATGACAAAATCAGCAGGAAGAAAGAGATGTCTTTATGAATGTAAAATATTGTGATTTTATGTGTTTATGTGGCTCTGAGATCCTGCTGATCTCATTGGACTGCCTCATGTGTGGGGCACATTGACTGCAGTACATCACAGGCTCGGACATTTAGAAATGTTCAAGTACAACCAGCATTTAAATATAAACAGTAGAATAAATGACTTAATCTGTGTTTGTATTCTGCCACTCGTAATCACCTACTCATTTTCTGCTTTTGTTTTCAACGGTTTATGTGAACAGGGAAAAGAGGTATGTGACAGTTTTAGTCATGTCAGCCCCATGTCCAAACTCCCGCTCTCCTAAAAACATGGTGCGCATGCTCCCATGGCATGTTTCCACTGAGCGGCGACAACTAGACTGCAGCTGCTACAAAGCAAACTTAATCAGAAAATACATCTTAATATTAAAATACAACTTAATAGATGTGTTTACCTTTAACTCACATGCACTGTACCATTCAGTGGAAACATGACTTCACTAATAGCTATAACAAACCTGTACTTTCTCTACATTTCTGTCCCGTTAAGATTGTGCATAAGTATAATAACCTAGCTGAAGTTCATGGAGGCTTTGATACTGAGGCTCACATGCAGACAGCCTGTTTAAAGCCATGTGACCGTCTGTTGGGAGAAAACAAGGTGAACCCCATTGCCTTGTTTTCCTGTGCTGAGAAAACTCCTGTTTGAAAATGCAGTGGTCTCAAAGTGTGGCGTGAGCACATCCTCTCTGAGTGGCTTAATATCTTGGTCAATATACATTTTATGTTTTATAGGCATAATGTAAAATTAAATAAACCAGGAAAAATGTAATGATAAGATACCAGTGCTCTCTCTACTCTATGAGACAGCTCCATCTTCAAAATGGCTTTTCTTAGCACATAATTCAGACATTGACCTTAATCATCTCCACTACTTTTACGCAAGTGTGACTAAGAAGAATGGGTTTAACCATGCGCACATTGCAAAAAGTGGGCTTCTTTCACCCATCCCGGTCCCTACCCATGGAGCAGACCAGGCATGCCCCTCCTCATGACACCAACCTCAGAGTTTACTGCTGTACTACTGTAACTCTGATGCTGGTGGAATCGTTGTGTGCCTCAATGTAATCCACACTTTAAATTAACTAATGTTAAACAGAGGTGGGAAGAACAAAAGTCTCATATTATGTGATTATCTATTTAAACTTTTTGTCAAGCTGATCATTACTTCTATGCACATTTGGAGATCATTTTTATCTATTCTGTCATTTTTTTGTACACTATCCTTTCTTTTGTTTACTCATATTAGCACAATAATTAATATATAATGTAATGCTTATATAAGTATAATAATTGAATGAATTATCAAATATCAGATGTTAAATTTCAATCATTCTGACATTTCAAGCTAAATCTAATAAACAATTTTCATTGTAAAACAGGTTCAATTGAATATGCAAATCAAAACAAATCAGTTAATCATATCTGTTTTGTTTCAATACCAAAGAAAACTGCATGTCTTATTCACTTTATCTTATTTGTTTATTAGGAGAGGACTATGGACAGTAATGTAAATCTTGTCAGTGACATTATGTAATTGTGTAAATAGTAAAAATTTAACAAGAAGCTCAAAAACTTGAACTGCACGTTGAAGTTACTTATTTCGCTATCTGCAGCTCAAATCTTATTGTGTTACCAAAAAAGGACATGCATTTAACAATAAGTTGATAGATGATACAGTGTATAGTTTTATAACAATAAATTTTCTCTATAATAACAAATCTGACAGTAAATACTTAAAGGGCTCATATTGCGCTGTTTTTGGATCTATGTTATGATGTTTCCTTATCACAAACACCTGGAGTTGTGTTGTTGTTGTTTCATTCACACATGTTTAACTCACAAACCTTGCAATTTTAGGTTGAGTTCTTCTCTCGAACAGAACCTTGTGATGTCATGTGTCAGTACAGGAAGTGCTTTACTGTATTTTATAACTCCACACACTTTTGGCCCTGGAATTGCACTATTACACTACATGACATCACAAGATGGAAAAGAACATTTTGACCTTTGGACATGTACCGCCTAATAATGCAGGATTACTCAAACGTGTAAATGAAACAAAACACAACTCCGGACATGTTTTTGAGAAAGGAACAACATTATAACATGGCTTTAAAGTCACAAGAATCCATTTTGTTTAATATAGGACCTTTAAGAACTTAACTTTAAAAATATTATTGTTAAGTTAATAACTGGCATGACAAAATAAAATAGTTGATCTAAACTGAAGAAACTATATCAATCCCACCTCCTCTCTCTTCACAAATCCTCATTTGTCACTTACTAAACTACAGCGGTTACATGTGGCACACAACACATTAATATTTTGGCCAGTGTTCCTGAGCTGAGCCCCCCTCCCTCTCGGCAAATGCATGTGCCCCCCTCAGCAGCGCCGTGATCCAGGCTCCTGGGTGCATTCACATTACAGTGTTGACAGCTTGATGTGAATGAGCACACCCGGTGGCTGCTCTGGGGATTGGCAGCCCACAACAGCACTCGTGTTTTGCTGTGCATGATAACCACTACAGTGCAGCGACTACAGGAGGACAAGTGTCTGAGGAGCCCCCTGCCCGGCCTGCTGTTCAATCCCAAGTGTGGGGGTCTGCGTGCCCAAGCGCCGCTCTCTCTGCTCCCACTCTACACGACCATCTCCCCGAGGATCAGTTAGAGCCACAACTTGAATTTAGATGGTGGAAAGTGACAGAGGAGCTGTGGTATATGAGCATCATTGGCATTCTTCTGGATATAATTAAATTTCAGAAAGTCAACTATAGACCTTGGAAACTTTTCTAATGGACAGTCTTCTCCATGGAGATACCACTGCTTTGCCGAGAATGTTCCATAGTATGCTCTATATTTGGCATTTGTTTCATTACAGGTATATGAATTATCTTAAAAAATATGCATTCTTACTGTGAATAGGTGCACCTCTCCACAAATATTAACTGTAACATGGCCTGGTGATGCAACATGTTTGTTCCCATTGAGATATGTTTAATGCCATACTGTGGAACATTCTGTGCCATGCTGCAACATCACCATGGAGACAGACAGTTACGCAGAACACCTTGAAGTTCTGGTTTAGTTATTGTTTCTACCTGTAGCATGGTTTTAGACATGGTTTGGGCCATAAAGCAGAACTGTTGGCTTTTATTTTACAGAAGTCTATCTCCAACAGTTGTATGGTAAATAATCACACACACTCTGCTACTTTCATCTTTTTTTTTTTAGGAATATTAACATTTCTGTAAAACTTTTTGGTAAACTTCGTCTAACCCTAGTGTTTCCCTGAAGGCCTTTGCCTGGTGGTCAGACCTGATGGTGGAGCACGCAGAGACCTTCTTGTGCCTGTATGCGGTGGACATGGACTCTGCCCTGGAGGTGCAGCCCCCCGACAGCTGGGACAGTTTCCCCCTCTTCCAGTTGCTCAATGACTTCCTCAGAATTGACTGTGAGTGACACACGATTAAAGATGTAGACAGACTATTAATAAAAGGGTTACTCAAATATTTGTGGATGAAACAAAACACAACTCTGCTTTGAGGAGGTAACAGTATTATAACATGGCTTACAGCTGGCAAGAGTCAGTTTTGCCTAATGTAGGACCTTAAAAGAAACCTCCTAACGTAAAACCCAAATATGAACCAGGTTTTATCCAGGTTTTAGTCCTCAAATTTGCCATGTTAATATCAAGTATTTTTTCAACAATAGAAAATGCTGGCCTCAAAGCATAACTGCCTAAGACATGTTTTGAGCAAATTGGAAATACTAATTTCCAGACACTGCTGCATCTAGTAGTTGTCATTTGCTGTCTCCTCAGGCAACCACGATGTTTTTACAGCCAGAAAAACACAAACATTATTGGTTTAGATATTTTTTTTATTATTTTAAAATGATTTAGGCAATTATGCTAGGAGCCTAACAATTAAATTAAATGATACTACCACTTTTTGATGTTTTTTGTTTCATTTGGATAAACCCAGTCATTACAGACATATTGCCATATTCTCAGAACGAAGTGTTTTGAGTTAAAGGGTCCATATTACACTATTTTCTGATCTATGTTATAGTGTTTTCTCGTCAAAAACATACCTGGAGTTGTGTTTTATTTCATTTACACGTTTAACACACAAACCCTGCGTATTTAGGCTTCTTCTCTCAAATAGAAAACACTATTTTCCACTTGTGATGTCATGTGGTAATAAATGAAGTGCTCTGCTGTTTTTAACTCCATACACCTTCACTAGAATCGCATGGATAATTTCAACCCTGGAATCGTCAATCTCTACTGAACTTAAGGAAAAAGATAGCTTGTATTGAAAGTGAGGTATGTTTTTGAGGAGGAAACCACATTATAACATGTCTTATAGCATAGCTCACAAGAGTCAAGTTTGTGGAATATAGGACCTGTTGCTGTTGCTATTAAATCCAATGTATTAAAACTTTTCTACACAATTTTTATTTTTAATATTTTCCCCAATGAACATTCACATCGTCCTTTCTTGTTGCATCTCCGTCAAACTCCAGTTCTTCTCCCATCTGTTTGTGGTGGTGACCCAGGGCATTTCCACACTGTCCTCTTGAGTGCATGTGTGCTATAGCCATAATGAGCAGGTTGTACGGTTGGTTGCTGTAGGCCAGTCATGTCTTTAATGAAGAGCGTGCGTTGCCTGCAGGAGCTGTATGCATGTAAAGGATATACTCCAGTCTTCTTCTTCTTCTGCTCCATCTGCAGGGTGCTAATTGTCCTCCGGGAGCGCTTCCCCTTTTCACTGTGTCGGTCGGGAGTCAAGGAGAAGGCAGAGCGAGGTGCACTTATGTGGCTTCTGAAAGGAAACGATTGTTCTGTTCATTTGTTAGTGCGAACAAATTGGCCCCTATTTTCTGTTATGGTAAAGGCAGTTGTGTTAAACTGAATGGGCAGTGCTAATGTAGCTATACAGAGGCAGTTAATGGGCTTTGCATTAGGGTAGCATTGCATTGTTGACTGAGAAATGTAGCATATTATGGGCAATGATGGGAAGAATACTTGTGTGTATTTAGTCACAGGATACTGAGAAGCTGCAGTAAAATGTATAATGTATTCTGTGATATTGGCCAATACAAATTATGTATTCTGAATACTGAAAATTCTTACATGTTAGGTTATATTTTATTATAGCCTGATTGATTAATTTACTAATCATACTCTTTAGCAAATCTTTAATAAATTGTTTACTAATTATGACGAAACATTTAATACATTATCAATCAAGAGCTAAAAATATACCCTGATTCATCAGCTGGTTTCACTTCGTGGAAACCATCTGACCTCACAGCATTAGAATTTGTTCGCTTGATTTTGTCGTGATGTATGTAATGCGCCGCTAACGGGGCTAACTGGTATATTAAGCTTTTCCCAAATATTATACAAAATATTATTCCTCAAAATAATATTACACAAAACTAAATCTTGTGAGCTTTAAGTCATGTTATAATGCTGTTATATCCTCAAAAACTTACATAGAGTTGTGTTTTGTTTCATTCAAACATGTTTAACCCTTTATTATTAGTCTGTCCAAATTGCCAATGATGTCACGTAGTGGTAGTGTTCAAGTTAACAGTTATGTTTTAACTTTTAATCAATAGTAATGGGCAATTCCAGGACTGAATTTATCCAAATAATTCTAGTAAAGGTGTATGAACTTTAAAAACACAATGGAGCACTTCCCGTATTACCACATGACATCACAAGGTGGAACTGAGTGTTTTCAGTTCAAGAGAAAAACTCTGCCTAAATATGTTTTTGATGAGGAAACAGCATTATAACTTAAATCAGATAATAGTGTAATATTGGACCTTTTAATAGGACATTTGTGCATTTTTTGTAGTTATGCCTTATTGTAAAGTGTTAAATATTATTGTTATGGGAACTATATTTAATATGTGTGTGTTGGCGCCAGAAGATGGAGCCCATCACAATGATAGGATGTCCCCTTCCTCACACTAACACAACAGCACTCAGCTTTGTTTTGATAGAGGCATCTTTTCCACAGAAGGTCATCTGCAGCACTGCCCCACAGCGCTACACTTATGGAGCAGTAAATAGCCTTAGCCGCAGACAGGCCCTGATGTGGGGATGCCATTGGACGACTTAATGAGGTCTAAAGTAGTGGTAGCCCCGTGAACTCACTCCTGGCCACAACACATCCAAGTGGACAGCAGCCGCTCAAGTGGCTAATTGGAAGCGTGGCAATCAGGGAACACAACATTCACGGCACCTACTGTGTATCATCGACCTTGAGTCCAGTGCCAGTACACACACACACACGGGCACACACACACGGGCACACACACGGGCACACGCAGCCACATGCTCAGAGGGGGAGAGAAAACAAAGAGCGCGAGAGAGGAACGGCACACCCTGCATGGAGCCGTGAGCCATCACTTTATCTCCTGTGGTCTTTTCACTGTTGTCTTTTTACCAGTTGGAAGCTGACGAAGACCCAGGGACAGTGTTAAGGCTGGGTTTGATAAATAAACATTTTCAGACAACTGCAACTTAACTGCGCGGCTTGGCAGACATGCACAAACTTTATTGATTCACAAGAGAAATTATTTGGACACAGTAGCTCACACACGGCAATATATTATAATAACAACGAGCAAAAATGTAAATGGTAATAATAAATTCTAAATAAGTAGCAAAAATAACAAGAGACTGGTGTTAAATAAGGTATTATGTAAATATATATGTACAAGTGAAAATATAGAAATATAGTAATACAAATATATCTTTCAGCTATAGAAGAGGTTGTAAGGAGAAACAATGCAGAGCTATTTTGGCTTAGAAAATAAATCAATAAATCAAAAGCTCACCTTCCCGTTAGTTATTCTAGCTTGGTTTAGGCAAAAGTCATTCTGTGAAGGCTGAATATATTCATGTTTTTAATACGGTAAGATGGGTCAAGAAAAAGCTTAATTCAGAATTGACTTTAAGATTTGTGAAAATTTGTCTCACTAACCCATAACCTATTGTACAATCCGATACTGTTGTGATGCTAAGACTTTGTACTCATTTTGCTTGTTTAAGTGTGTTGGTGTGAATGTGTGATTGGCGGAGGCCTGACGATACAGCTGCAAGGCACATCATGCTTCTGTCACCAGGGAGTATTAGTGGTGGAAGAAGTACTCTGTTTTGTTACTTAAGTAAAAGTACAGATACCAGATATCTGAAGTACAAGTATTAAAGTATTATACCAGTTTATAAATGTAAAAAATATAAATATTTTGTGCATATATTAAAGGTTTATAAGGCATCACATTTTGATAAAGATTTGTGCTGAATTTTGTTCAGCAGAAACAACACAATTTTTGTTTTGTTTTTATTTGTATAGTTTTGTTTGTTCTAACTATGAACATGTTAAAAATAAACCCTCAGCCTTTTCAGCAGGTCTCAAACAAAAATGAAAAATACGTTTACTTTTCCTACGTTTCCTGTTCAAACTGTAGTGGCGTAGAAAGTACAAATACCTGCTCTGAAGTAAAATTTAAACAGTGCTTTAAAATCAACTTAAGTAAAGTACAGATACCTAAAATGTATGTAGTACTACTTTTAATTTGTATTTGTCATGTTCCACCACTGACGACCAGTAAACGAAATTGTGAGCTGTCTCGAAATGCCAGAGTGACATGAATAAATTAAATTGCTAAACTGACTGACATGGCTGCTGTTTAATGTTGTTGCAGATAACCTGTGCAATGGCAAGTTCCATAAACACCTGCAGGACATGTACGCCCCTCTGGTGGTGCGCTACGTGGACCTCATGGAGTCATCCATCGCTCAGTCTATCCACAGGGGCTTTGAGCGGGAGTCCTGGGAGCCAGTCAAGTAAGCAAGAACACAATAAATCCAATAAAATGTATATATAGATGTATTTATTCACAAAACACAAGACCGCTACCAGTGCCAATTTTTTTATTTTCTAACTAGATTTGTAAGATTATATTTGCTATAATGTAATACAATTAATCAGTTTGTAATTACAGTCAATTAGCCAGTCATGAAATTATTCCATTACAGGGCAGCACAATTAATCACAGCCTAATTACAAATTATATAATTGAATCCTTTGCAAACAACTAAATTTTTGGTGTATTACGTGTAGTTGAGACCTCTACAAACATATTCTGAAATGTATAATTCTAATATTTATTGCAATATATATTTTAATCTTGTCTTAAATTTTAATGCTGCTGGGTGTGGTACAATGTGCACTGGAAACTGATTCCAGATTTAACTAACTAGAAAATCTTATTACAATGACACCTGCTATTTTCCCTCAAAAGCCTGCAGCCAATTATTTATGTACAATATCCGACCACTCTCACCCTCGTTTTCTTTGATAATAACTTCAACCTTTATCCTGATTACTGTACATTTTTATTCTCAACATTGTAAATGTAACAAATTTTTATTGCATAATTATTATTTTTAAGAGGACCCCAAGAAGAGGAGCCCCTTTATGAGCAGCTAATGGGGATCCTAATAAAGCAATAAAAGAATAACGGACCAGTGCCAGTTCTAAAAGTCAGAGTCCATATACGTACTCCGTAAAATAAGATGTATTATGGTGAAAAGAAGCCATAGCTAATGCATCTGTAGTCAGTGTTGCGAAGTTACTGAATACATGTACTGAGAATTCAGAATACACATTTTGAGTAACTGTATTGTGGTAAAGTCACCACTTCATTTGCTGGTATTCAGACAACAGTTACTTTTCTAAAATCAAAGGATCAAAGGAATACATGGCGGTACTTGATCTCACAATTTAGGCTTCAAATTGCACATAACTAGTGGAAAAAAGATGAAACTGATTTTTCCTTCTCCAATTTGTAATGGGAAATGCATAACAAAAAGTGAAACAATGTAAAGCAGGTTTATCTTCTTTATGTGATAATTCAATGTACTAAATATTTTTTTTGTTTATTGACTTATACAGAAATTGTACAAAATTTACTTTACATCACAAATAGCAAAACAAATTGACCTGCCCAAATAAGATAAAAGATAATATTCAAGTGAAAGCCCGTGAAATAAAGTTGTAGATGCTGAATTAAGTAAAGAACTAGAAAAAATTTAGGAAGATTTCAGATTTCAGAAAACAGCACTCTGATTTAGACATGTATCAAATTACATTACACAATACAATTTTTAATGCAGGTATTCAGTATTCTGTAGCTAAATATATTTCAAAGTATTCTTCCCATCACTGTCCATTGTATATTTAACATGTCTCGTTTGTAGAATTAGGAGCGAACTCTTTTACAGTTTTGTGCTTGTGCGTGTCTTCACAGGACGATAACAAGCACTCTGCCCAGTGTCAGCCTCCAAATGCCCAAAGTCCCAAATCTCTCAGTGCCAAGTGTTAACCTCCCACAAATGGCCAGCTTTACTGCAGCCAACTTGATGACAGCTAATAGTGACGCAGAGTGTGTATGCGCGGGTCCGGCCTCGCACATGTCCCTGGCATGACTGTGGACTCTCATCATTGTAGACACGAGCGCTAATGAGGCTCAAAGTCCGAGAGGAGTCAAACATGTGCCATAGAAAAAATCACACCGCGCTGTCCAACTTCATTTACATACTTAACGATATTCAGTTAGTAATCTGTTATGGAAAATAGTCTAATCTGTTTTAGTACAACTTGAACAATTCATTTGCATGTTTTAAAATTGTATAAAGCCAAATTGCAAATGTAATATAAATATAATAATTTATTTTTGTTATTAGCTTTCTTACTGCCTGTTGTATAAACCAATGTAACTAAGTCTGCATAGTACTAAAACACAACATTTGACATTATTTTGACAGTAAATTGAGGCAAAATAAATAAATAAATAACCACCCACATCCTAATTAGTTTTAATAAAGCATGACAACTTAATTTATACTTTACAAATTGTTTGTTAAGAATGATTCAGACTTCAGGCACACTATCAGCCAGGAATAGCGTATTAAAATAAGCCTGTTAAATTATCATGTGTCATAAGCTAAAATTTTCTTTAGTTGTTGTCCATGTATGAAAATTTTAAACGAAATAGCACTTTTCGAGAAGGGATGCAGAATTCAGCTTACCCATAAAAATACGCAAGGGGAACAAAACTATGGGAGAGCATAGCTTGACAGAACACTGGGTTGGCCTGTCTGATTACAAATGGTAGCATTAATACTTTATTTAGGCTATAAATAGTGCAATTATTATAAAGTTTTATCTAAAAGGCTTCCACTGTTTATAAAAATGCATAACCTTCAAAAATATAGCTAAAAGTATATGCTTTACATGTCATTTGGTGTATAGGTAGACTTGTACTCATTTGCACTATACCCACATTTTGAATTACTCAAACATTTTTCTGTAAAATGAGCTGTATTTTTACAATACCGTGCAAAGTATACAAGATACAGGTAATATTATCCCTGTTACAATAATTACTGTATCGACTTATTGTTCAATATATGAAAGCTTTTGGATATTTTCTTTACACTACTGGGAAATTTTGGTTATTTTTTTGGCTATATGATCAGATTTAAGAAGTAAAATTTTAAATTAATAACTTCTATGACTCAATAAAGATGCAAACTAAGTACTAAAGAGTTTCGTTATTTATTGCAGCTCATGATTTTTTTTACAATATTGTAGATTTAAATTAATTTTTATTTTTTATATTTACCTCAGCAATATATCATACTTCAAAATATGTTTTTGTGACAAGCGTAGGTAATATATTGTCCAAGTTGTTGTGGATTCTCTCTCTTCAACTGTATTTAAAGAATGGCTCAGAACTGCCAGGTTTAAACCTATCCCACAAAGCCATTCCTAATACTATGCAAATGAGCCTGTGAGTGATAGCTTTAATAGACTTCATCATATCCCAATATACTCTTAACACATCAGCCATAGCACTTTAAAGTCAAGTGAAATGTGTACGCCATCAGCGGGACTGCGAGGTGTCACTGCTCCCACAGCATCCTGCCGAGTGTGACGCCCTCGCCACAGCACATCCTCATCGGGATTCACTAGCACGCATACACAAGCACTCTCAACTTTTATTCTTTCAAACTCTGCCCTATATTTATCTATTCAGATTTAGTATTCACTTATCACATCACAAACCAAAAAGATGTTTAATTTACAGCTGAAGGGAGCATTCTATGTAAATTCCACTTTTCATGCATGTTTGAGTACCGTACTCCTGTATTTTTGCATTCGAGGGTTAAGTGATCAGAAAATGGCTGTTTTCACCTACCCTCTATTCCCACCTACTTCTCTGAACTTACCTGCGATTATTCACTCCAACTCTGGTTCATCCTTACAGAGTTAAAAAATGTCACATAAAGAAAATCTGCTGCTGGTGAAATTACAAAGAACCTATTTTGCTTTGTTAAATCTATGCATTTTACAATGTACAATAATGATCAATGAACATTATAGTTTAATACTAAAAGCTTGTGTCTCCTTTAATGACACAAGTAGGCCTGTCACAGTAAGTACTATATGGACTTATCATTCAATATATGAAAGCTTAAACTATATATTTTTAGGGCTCGGTATTTACCGTGTGCACAATTTCTTTATAACAGTGTGGAGATTTGGTGTATTTTTGTTTTAATACAATACGATTTGAGATGTAAAGGTTAAGTAAATGACCTCTATGACAAATTATTGGTTTATTCTGCCATTTATTTGTTTTGAGTTTAAATGATACTGTCTATTTTAAAATGGTTCACTGGGATTATCTTGCATTATTGTTATTGTCTCAGTGGCATAAAGTTTCAATATCAGGGCACTATATCTCTGTTGCAATATGCTTCAAATTGTGTTATTGTGACAAACCTAGACATAAGAAAGTGCTTATGCTGGATTTTCAAAGCAAATTTTAAAACTGTTGTCTATGTCAGGAATGTGGTTTCACAGTCATGCCAGAATTGGGAAGGGACCCCCATTGATAATATGTGTTGTAATATGATATGAAAAGGTCGATACAAAATACAATATAAAATTTATGAAATGATCATCTTTTCATATCTCTTACTATTTGTGGACTTTCCTAGAACTGTACCTCTCATATTTACCCACAAAGCCCTATGCTGCTGTGCTCCTTTGCCCATCTCCTGGTTCAGTGTGCCTACTCGCAGCTTTCCATCCACATTTTCCCACTTTTATCAAGTTTTCCAGTATGAAAAATAATTTAAAATTTTGCTAACTATGCCATCAATACAATCCTGTCTATGTGTTTGTTTGAACGGCAGTAACGGCTCAGGGACCTCGGAGGACCTGTTCTGGAAGCTGGATGCCCTGCAGACTTTTATTCGGGACCTGCACTGGCCGGAGGAGGAGTTTGGGAAACACCTGGAAACACGTCTGAAGCTCATGTCCAGTGATATGATTGAGTCCTGTGTCAAGAGGTAAGGATATACCCTGCATTTTCATAGCAGCACACAGATATGCCTGAAAAGTGCAAATTATATGCATTTAAGTTAATCAAAGACTCCACCATTTTATAACATGAAATCATAACATCCTCCACTTGAAGAGATATATTAATGATATTTTTTTGTGTGTAGCTATAAATAGCTCAGGAGCTCATTCTCCATCAGGCTCCTACAAAAGCTCCGCACAAAAAGTGAGAGATACAGGGCTACATTCATACCATACTCCAGCTACTGTGTCCAAATAATTTCCCTTGCAGATAAAAAAAATGGTCTAAGTAGCCCATTGACATCCTAGGTCTTTTTTAAATATTATAAGTATACTATGCATCTTTAAACCGATATTAAGATCAGAGAATCTTTCATTAAAGTACTTTACAAACAAGTAGATGTGATTAAGGGACAATGAAGTATGCACCAGCTCAGTTGGGAGATTGCTCATCTTCTGACTTTGACATAAGAATAGTTGGTAGAGCAGTCAGATCCATATACTCAAAGGTTCAAACCCAGCTCCCACAGATGAAAACTGTTGTTGTGTCTTTTGGCTATAGACTTAACCCACCCCACCCGCAGTGCCTGTGTATGGATGAATGTCCTTGATGTAAAGCATTTTGTTTAACTTCAAGGTTGAAAAGTGTTATATAAATATGATAATTTTCAATTAAACAGAGAATTACTTAATCACAATGGTAAACATTATTATAAAAATTGTCATGCCTCCCTCTGTAACTGCTGCATTGAGCCTTGTCATTTTGGTCTTAAACTGTGTGTATTAACCCACTCTATATGATCCTGGTGTGGTGAGCTTCATTTAACTGGTCACACTCAATCCACTTCTTCATACAGTCCATGTACCCTCCTGTCTGCAGAACACGAGCTGCCTTTGAGGTGAAGCTGCAGAGGAGCAGTCGGACCACAGACTTCCGCGTGCCCCAGTCCATCTGTACCATGTTCAATGTGATGGTGGATGCCCGGGTGCAGTCTGCCAAACTGTGTGCCATGGACCTGGGTCAGGAGGTACCAAACTCATTGGCTCTGTCTCTCTCTCTTTCTCTTTCTTTTTCAGTTTTTTATCACATTAATCTTCATTTCGTAAGCCACCTCAAATTTCCTTTTTTTCTGCTTTTGTCTTGTGAAAGTTTGTGAGAGACTGGGTAAGTGTGGCTACAGATTTAATGGAACTCTCACCTGTCTATTCCCCAGTGTATAATTAGTCATCAGTTTTTCCTGCCTGTCTTTCTCCTTTTGAATTGTTTGGATTTCATTAGCATATGTGTAGATAGCATTGAATATACATGGGCTCTAAGTGAGACGTCTCGGATTTCACAGAATCTCATACCAATTACTGACAAAGAATTCATTACTGCACGGTCCTTCACTGTTATGTTAGTGCCACCAAGCCAAACAAAAGGGTTTCTCACCAGCTCACGTTTTACATGAGACGGAGTGAAAACCGACTTTTGTTAAATGTAACACTTTGAAGTGGCAAGAGGACCCAAGGGTAAACAAAAAGAGGAAAATACTATGATAACGGGGATGTATTTGCTGCAGAAATTGAAATCACGAAGATGATTTTCCAGACTTAAGATGTTTCAGGCTAAGACATCTTTTTGATTTAAAGGTGCATTGTGCACCTTTTGTGGAGAATCTATCACCTGCTTGTTTCTATGGGATTACCTTACATTTATTCAATTACAGGTGGTTTTATAGCTCAAAAATACCTAGAAAATCAGGCATTCTGACTGTGAGCAGGCCTGACTCTCCACAGCTCTGACCTGTAACTTGGTTTGGTTTGGTCTCCATGAAGATAGAAAGGTTTAATACCATAGTGTGAAACATGGAGAAAAGCATTTGATGGACCCTCTGTCAGAAAAGTTACATAATGCACCTTTAAGCCAAATAATTACAGTTTGACAAGGTCTTTGAGAACAATGGGATAAAACAGTATCATTCAAATATTCTGTAGATGAATGTGTCTAAATATTACTGGAGAGTCTTGTTTTAATTATTGCAATTAAAAGCGCTGTGCTTTATTTTTACTGTGTTCAAAATGTAAAAAAACACAACTATTGGTGCAGTGGTCCGAAGTTATTCCTCACTTACCCTATCCCTTCCGAGCATCCTAATCATTCACCATAATGAATTTAGAAGTCAGATTGAAGTTTTGCTGGCACGGTAATGCTAACAACATCTGACTGATTCTCAGAGGATAAAAACTTAAAAATTAGATGCAGACTGCACACAGCAGGCTATCTTAAAGCTGTACCATGTAACTTTTCTAGAGGAGGGTCCATCCCCTCATTTCTATGGATATGTCATTACTCTGCCTAGAATGTTCCGCAGTATTTCATTAAACAGCTCTACCTTACATTTATTAAATTAAAGATGTTTTTACTGCTTGAAAATCCCTAGAAAAACAGGCATTCTGTCTGTGAGCCGGGCCGCCTATCCACAGATCTGACCTGTAACTTGGTCTGGTTTGGTCTCGGTGAAGATAGAAAGGTTTAATACCACACGGTGGAACATTCCAGACAACGTAAGAGCATCTCCATGGAGAAAAGTGTTTGACGGACCCTCCACCAGGAAAGTTACACAGTGCACCTTTAAGAACTGCTCATACATAATTTCTGTATTGGGGTAAAACAAATTTAGCTTATATACAGAAATAAATACACAACAAGTTTAAGGGGCTGTAAGAAAACTCCTAATCATGAAGTATAAAGTTGAGATCTGCAAACTTTGTCAAGTCAGATCTCAACAACATGTAAGGTTGAATCTGAGCATTAGAGTTCAGTCCAGTGGATAGAGGTGCAGCGTCCCTGAGCTATTATTTAACTAACACTAATTAAACACATATTAATTATACTTTCATACCCTAAAAACTACATTAACATTTTTTTGTTAATGTACAGGGCCTGCAACCTTTTTGTCTCCATGGAAATGTTAATGTTTTGGTTTAGAATTTCCATATTATTCTATTAATCTAATCCGTCTTGCATTTATTGAACTACAGGTGTTATTTATTGCTCAAAAATATCTTAAACAGCTCCGAGTGGGGTCACCACTCCACAAACCTGACCTGTAATTTGGCTTGCAAGTCTCCATGGAGATTCTTAAGTGTGTGTCTATACTGTGGAACATTTTAAGCACATCTCCATGGAGACAAACAGGTGATGGACCCTTATTAGGACAAGTAAAACAGAGCACCTTTAACCTTGATAATTCTAATATACATGCAAGAGTAGGAAAAGAAAAGTAAGACCTTGTTGCTGTTGGTTGGTGTCATAGTAACCAGTGTTTTGTGTGTTCCTGCAGAGACAATACCATTCTCAAATCGACAATCTGATCGAGGAGACAGTGAGGGAGATGACGACGCTGCTGGTGGCCAAGGTACAGCCTGTTCCAATCACATCTGCGCTACTATTCCATATGCACACAGTTTAGACTCTAAAGATTGCAATGCCAACAAATAATGTGCAGTTTAAAGGTCCTATATTACACAAAATGGACTCTTGTGAGCCATGTTATAATGTTGTTACCGTATCAAAAACATATCTAGAGTTGTGTTTTGTTTCATTCGCACATGTTTGAGTAATCCTGGTTTATTAGTCTATTTACGTAGCCAAAGCTCAAAATGCTCTGTTCCACATTGTGATGTCATGAAGCAGTAGTTTTCAAGTTAAGAGCTACATTTTACCTTTTGCTCGGTAGAGACTGGAAATTTCAGAGTTGAAATCATCCAAATAATTCCAGTGATGATGTGTGGAATAAACACAGTGGAGCATTTCTTTTATTACCACATGGCATCACAAGGAGTGTTTTCTTTTTGAGAAACACTCATCTTAAATATGCAGGATTTGTGTGTTAAACATGTGTGAATGAAGCAAAACATAACACCAGGTTTGTTTGTGATGAGCAAACAACATTATAATATCTTTTTATCTATTTTTATCATTTATCTTTAACATATATTTTAAATGTATTGTGTACTAAGTCTAATTTAAAATTAAACAAATGTACATGAAAACACATTATTCAAAATATTCTGCCTAATGCCATATTTATTACTGTGAAAAATAACATTACAGTTTATAGTTTAGTTGTCTCTGTTTTTCTCTGTGTCCAGTTTGTGGTCATCCTAGAAGGTGTCTTAGCCAAAATCTCCAGATATGACGAAGGAACACTCTTCTCTTCTTTCCTATCTTTCACAGTAAGTATTTAATGTATTTTTAACCTATTACAATATGCTAGGATACATGAAACATATCTTTTCAATAGGCTTTTATGACACACTTGGATGGAAGTCGTATTTTTATCACTTATTAATTTGAGTGAAAATGAGAAACATGCCATTGTTTTTTTTTTATCTCATTAAATCAATATGACACATTTACCTCACAATAATGAAGTCAGATTCCTATTTTCTGAATGTAAGACTAGTGAGAATGTGTGGTCTGATAATAACTGGTCTCTGTGCTCCGTGGTCCTAACTGTGGTGCTTCTTTTGACCTCCAGGTGAAAGCAGCCTCAAAGTATGTGGATGTTCCTGTAAGTGACACCTTTTCTTCTAGATTTGACATTTGGTTCTGTTTTGGCTTTACTTAAACCATAAAAACAACTCATTTGTTCCTTAGCTCAAATCTATCAATGGCCTACTTTAAATTCCTCCTAAAAGCTGCTTTGTGAATTCAAATGCAGTGTTGGAGATTCTGTGAGGCCACTGTGGCTGTCTGTGTCTGCTGCGTGTACAAATATTTGACCATGCTTTCACATGTACTGCATCATCCAGATGGAGTGGTTGAGTTGATGTCCATTCATATGCATGTGGCCAGACACAGAGAGGCGTGCCTCGTGCCGCGCTCTCTGCCGCTCATTGGGAGTCCATGTTGTACGACACATGGCCATTCTGTCGCCGGCGTGTGCCGCTCAGATCTGGATTAACTGCCAACACTTCGGCCGGAGCAACATGCCAAATTTCAAATTAATGCCTTGTCACAGAATGTGTTGAGGCACTGCGTACCCTGGCAGGGGTCGTACTCTCAGCCCAGCACGCTAATTGTGTTCTTAATGTACAAAATGAGACTTTTAGTTGTAAAAAGAACACTCATTTGCACATTTTAAGTATTGTAGCAGATGTGTTAACCAGGTTTGTGACTGTTTTCCATAAATGCTGTCGGTAGATACAGTTTGTGCTGTGGGGACAAAACGTCTGAACCTGAGCTTTGCTCTTCACCATGTTTGATCGCAGACATTTGTACCTTTATCAAGTTCAAACTACAATAAAATACTATGTCCACTTTGGACAGACTTGCGTGATAGTGGGAGAAATTTGAATTTAGCATATTGTCTTCACTAGTGCAACCTTCTTATTTTATTCTGTTGGTATATTATAGAAAATTGAAAGTCAGGTAATCTAAGTAAATAGCATACAATAGTGCATAGCATTTGTGCAAGTGAACAAAAAAAGTGAGTGTCCCTTTGTAACTGTTGTTTTGGAGACATGCAAATAGTGTCTATTAAACAATTAGATTTAAAAAAAGAGACAGAATCATCAACATAATCTCACAAAGGTATAAAGTCATATTTCACTCTTCTGTAATGGTCCATTCACATTTTGTGCTTTACTTGAACCTCAACCTCAACTGAGACATACATTTTTGTCAATATTCCTCTTTTTACCATTAAAGCTAACTTTTATTGTGATGATTTATGTCTTTGAATGTTGCATTTGTTAAACATGATCGGACAAGAATAAAACAGTTTTCTCTTTCCTGCCTCGTGTGCTGTGGTACCGTAGAAGCCGGGGATGGACGTTGCCGATGGTTACGTGACGTTTGTGCGACACTCCCAGGACATGCTGCGTGAGAAGGTCAATGAAGAGGTGTACGTGGAGAGATTATTTGATGTGAGTAAAGCACAAAGCGATGACATTTAGAGGAGCAGATTAAACCATTCAAGTCACTTTTATCAACCCACTGTTCATGATTACACTGTTATAATCTGGCCCACACCTGGCTCTCATCTCAGCCAACAGAGCTACACAGGATTTATGCCATTACTGTGTTGTGTTAGAGAAGATAGAAACCACTGGTGGAAGGTAAAAAAGTACAAAGTAAAAGTACAATACTTAAGTACAATTTTTAGGTATCAGTACTTTACTTAAAAGTACATTGTGTAAGTTTTCTGCTGGAGGGTCTGTCAAATGTTTTTCTCCATGGAGATGTTACTGCTTTCCCTATAATGTTCCATGGCATGACATTTTCATTTAACATTTATTCATTACCAGTGTTTCCATTGCTCAAAAATACAATAATTCGTTCTGAGAATAGGAGCGACTCTCCACAGATCTAAATTGTAATGTAGTGTAGTGCTGTAACCTGCTTGTCTGCCTTTTGATCGACCGATTGGTTTAATCTATACTGTGGAACAGTCTAGACAAAGCAATAATATTTTCATGGAGACATCGTTTGGCTGACCCTCCACTAGAAATCTTACAAAGTGCATCTTTATAATGGATATTTTTTACTTCACTACAGAGCACCTATCTGTACTTTCCATACTTTCTACTGCACTACACTACGGAGACTTATTTTGTCCTGGTCTAGTTTGGGTCTATTTTTTTTTTTTTTTTGCTAATAACAGTTTTTTCCCCACAAGTTCTTTCAAGGTTGTTATGGAGGCTTTACTTAAATCAGGAAAACTGCAACCATCGCAATTAAACACTTGAGCTCCTTCTGTTGTACAAATGAGCCACAGAAGCTGTAGAGATGTAGAGACATCTGCCCAGTCGTGTTTACCCATGTGTGTGCTGCTGATCTGAGCAGGATTTTCACTAAGTGAGTCAGCAAACACCACTTCAGTTCAAGAAGATAACACTTTACCATGACCAAGAATATTTAACTTTGTACTTAAAATATTCAGTAAATATAATGTTACTACAGCTACATTTTTGTATGGCTAGTTTTTGTAAAAAGAGAAATTTTTTGAGACATTACCTCAAACTAACTCACTATAGGTCTGAAAATTGAGACGGATTTGTGTTTTTGAACAGAATAATGACTAAAAATGTAAATAGAAGAGGTGAACTTAACTTTAATTATAACTAGAAGCAGTGAAAAAGAAAAATGAGTCATATCAAGGGGCTAAGTTCTATAAATAAAGAATTCTTAGTAATAATAAAAAGGGATAAAATTAAAGATCTGGATGAGTTTGATGAAGACCAAATAACGATATCCAGACTAGTTCAACAAAAAATCTCCAAAGCTAAAACACGTATTGGATGTTCATTCTCTTAAGTTGTCAAAAAATTTAAAAAAAATAAAAAAATCAATACACAGTAAACTCTAAAACTTGTATCGAAACTAGATTCTCATTTGACCAGGCATCAGTACTGGAAAAAAATAAAATAAAAAGTTATTTTTATGATGCCTTGTCTTCTTTTGGTGTATTCGAACCAAATCTATTCTATTCTATCAAGACTCTCCATTAGTACTGAGTTTTAAATTGTATTATATTGTCTAATTAAAGGTGGCCCATGAATGAAGATTAGGAATGCACCTCTACTGATATCAGTATCTAATATCGGCTCAGGTCCAAGAAAATTTACCAGATTGGGTATTGTTCGGTCAGTATCCTAGTTTGACCTTTAATTGGATGTAATAAGAATATTTACAAGCTGATTTTGGCCCAGAACATCTCATAATGTTTGAACTTTAACTCATACAAAGCTGTTCTCTAGTTATTAACACAATATAACACAATTGGATTAGAGGTGTAATAAAATAACTGTTTTGAGAGAAAAAATAAAACATCTATTTTCAATCCCTTCACTGGTATCAGTTAATATCAGATACTTAAAGTCATATTGGTATCGGAACTGAAAAAGCTGGATCAGCGCATCCCTAATGAAGATAACATTGGTGAATTGGCGACAGGTGCAGGTCAGGAGCAAAAGCAAACAAAAAATACTCAAAGTTAGTCACTGCTGTTTTCTCCACCTCTCCCTCCAAGGCTTTACTGCTAACAGTTTTTCTCTGTCTGTCCATTCCTGTCTGTTATTGCATCAATGGTGTAGTGATGTGTTTGTATGAGAGCCCTGAGGAGAGGCTGACTGTGACTGGTAGCTCCTCCTGACTGCGTGCTGGTAGCTCTTCTTCTCTTGTTGTCAGTCTGGATCAGTTCTCCCCACGGCGCCACCAGGCCACCGAAGGTTTCTGTCGTCCTCTCCGCAGCCGTTGTGCTTTTCTTGTCCATGCCCTCTTTGTATGGCTCCTGTCTTCATGAGGTTACAATGAAAAAGGAGCTGTCTTGGATGTTGGAGTGGTACTGTTGTTGCATGAAGAATAAAATATACACAAATAAATGATGTAACATGTGAATGTTTTGGTGTCATTTGGCGAAGCAGCTTCTTCAGGAGACCATGAGTTAATCACAACTGAATCAACTTTGCAATGGGAAAGGATTCTTGTATTGGAGGAACAGAGATTTAACTTAGCACATACCAGCGTAGAAATGTGAGTGTTAGTGGAGCTGAAAAATGTCCATGGCACTCAAGTTTTCAAAAATAAAAAATCCTTCGAGACATGGACTAACTAATTTAGTAGTTTGCTTTTCAGTCTTTTCTAAAATATGAATATTGATTACACTACCATCAAAAAATATAACAAATAATATCATAGCAGAGAAAATACATGTTGTAATATTTTTTGAGCGAAAATCAAATTTGAGTGAAAGACAATAGGCTCACTTATGGGCAGCTTAAGTAAGTAAGTTTTACTAGATGAAAAGTTCATTTGTGACTTGTGGACCTCGTCATAAAAAACAAAAAAAAAAAACGCAGATATCAGCAATTATTGGTTACTGGCCACGTCAACAAGACAGGTTTTGTTTAAAAAAAACAAACTATGTCCCTATATTCTTTATAGATTCTCAGTGCTGCTTCTAAACAAGGCAGTTGTGGATATCCCTGTGCCACTGTGTAAATAGTTCGAATACTTTGAATTGCATCTATTTTCACTCTATTTGAATTACATGGTTTTTAGTCATTTTGTGTAACTAACCGCAGTGCAACAAAGTGGCTCTTGTAAAAGGTGCAGCCCAACTAAGGCCCATACTACACAGATGTTGTCCATGATCCACCGTGAATGCCCCGTTGTGCGAGTCCACAGCAGTTGTTCAATCTTTTTTGTCTAGAGTACCCTATATGTATTGTCAGTACCGTCTCGTCATTTACCGGTAACGCATAGCCACTAACGACTATTATATTTTCTTGTTTTAATGATTGTCAAGCTAAATGATCCTACAGAAACATGATTAATTGTTCAAAATGTAATGTAAAATGTTCAAAGCATTTTATATTCCAATACTTTTCAGTTCTACTTTTCTTTTAAAGATCCTATATTACGCAAAAATTACTCTTGAGACCTTTAAGTCATGTTATACTGTTGTTTCCTCTTCAAAAACAGACCTGGAATTGTGTTTTGTTTCATTTACACATGTTTGAGTAACCCTTTATTATTAGTCTGTCTGTATCTCCAAAGTTACCCCTTACATTTTGTTCAGTAGAGATTGGGATTTCCAGGGCTGAAATGATCCAAATGGCATAATATCACAAGGTAGAACAGAGTACTTCCAGTTTGAGAGAAAACTCAGCTTAAATATGCAAGGTTTTTTGTTTTAAACTTTTGTGAATTAAACAAAACACAGCTCCAGGTATTTTTTTGATGAGGAAATTTTAACATTGATCAGAAATAGAGTAATATGAGCCATTTAAATCACTCCAAGTACTGCCTAGAATGTGTAGTATCCGTTTAGGAAGCACTGGTCTACAGCAATCGGCCTATCTCAAACATTCACCAGTTACATTTTAGTCCTGTCTTCCCTGCTGTATTTACCCCATTATCTCATTTACTAAAGGGTCTTGTATTATGTCCTTCCAGATCTGTATGGCAAACATCCGAACAAGCGCAGTGTCACCGGGGCCCGATTCTAGTGTTTGCTGACGTAAACTTTACACTTGTCGTGGTTAGGCCAGAATAATGTCCATAAGCTCCTCTGAAACCGCGAGTGGCCACCAGCGCAGTTAGCCCACATTCTCCTCTGTCTCTTAGCTTCGGCACAGAGCTCATTTCTTAAAAGAGGGTCAAAAAGGAGCCCCTAATCTTTGCTTTATGTGCCGATCCCCCCCTCCCCTCCACGCTGCTTTCCCCTTGCTGAGCTGATCTGCTAACTTCAGCCCGTTTCCCCTGGTGAGGATTACAACTGCTGGAGAATACACGCAGACAAAAGAGCTAGCTTGTTATGAAGCTGTCTATCTCCCGGCTCACTTGTTTGTTTACTTCCTGTCTGACAATGGCGGAGTCCAAAGAGATTGTAGCTCAAGTGGCTTTGGAACATTCCATCTTGGGGGTATCGATTAAGATGAGCTAACAAGCGAGGCGTTTTAGTGAGGTCAAAGTGCGTAGGCAGGAAATCACACACTGCTGAGTAAATTATAAACATGTTACAATGGATGACAGAATCTATTTTGTTGATTTATTATGCGTAAATGACTGACATTACTAACAAATTTGGTGGAAAATAACAAAGAAACAAGAAATTCTTAATACTTACTGAAACACTTAATGGGCAACACTGGCTCGTGTGGTAGAGATTGGTAATCAGAGAGGTTGAGGTAAACTTTTTGGTGTTGGCACAGGATGGTAGTCATGTCTCTGTTGTACGGCCTCAGGGCAGCTATGGCTATGAAAGTAGATTCCCACCATAGAGTATGAGAAGTGTGCAGAATATAAACCACTGGACTCTGAATGGACATGGACATTACACATCTTCATCTTCAGGACCTTTGTGTACCATTTGTGTGCAGAGTGTAGAGAGAGGAGTGGGTTGTGGGAGTTTTTTTTGGTC